TTATTTATAGATATGTGAGGTAGATAATCAGGATAATGGATCACTTCCAGCTTATTGTTTTGGTCTGATGACCATATTTTACCTGCAGCAGTGCCAGCCACCAGTTTTACCTGTTCTATGGAAGGTAACAAAAAATGTCCTTGCACTCTAATGTTTTGTACCTGTTTTTGTGTTTGTTTTGTTTTAGAGACATGTTTTAAATTGGGGAAATATTCTTTAGATAAAAAAATAAATTAAGAAAACATTTGTAGAAATAATCATATGCAAAAGTGTTCAATTGTCTTGAATATTTTGTTAACAGTGTTAGTATTTTGCCTTGTAATATGTTTTATATGTTTGATATTTTCAGGATTTGTCTGAAGAAGCATTGAAGAAACCAAAAACAAAAGCAGATGTTGACAATATGATCCAGGAACTGAAAAAAGAGGTTATAACTGTTTTGCAAATAACATATGTTCTATATATATATTATAGTTTGTCATGTTCAGTTGTAGCAAATGACATAACACAAATGTATTGCAGCATATTGAAATAAGATTTTTCTTGATTATGATAATTGTGTAGCATACATTTGTTATGATATCACAGACTCGTCTTCAAAATGAAATACTGAAATCCTACAGTTTTATTAATATTTTTATATGTTATTTTAGGTTTGGACATCGGACAATGAGTACACTGTTGGCATGTTATGGAAAGATTTACTGATGTACTATGGTGTGAACTTTGACCTAGCAGAGAACATTATTTGTGTAAGGTCACTAAAGGTCATACCTAGAGCTGAGAAAAAATGGAAGAGTAGAAGAATTGCGATTGAAGGTAATTCTGCTGACTTACATAATTCTATTCCAATCCCTGTGTTTAGTTATGTTTAGATGAATTTATCTCTTGCCAAAAGATTTGGTTTAATTATATTTGTTTATATTTCAGATCCATTTTCTAATAAAAGAAATGTAGCACGATCTCTTCAGAACTTAAGAATGTTTGATTATTTCTACAACTGCCTTCGTAAAGCATGTCTCTACTTTAGTCTGCCAACATCACATCAAAATATCTCTCAGTACTATGAATGTAAAAGAAACACAAGTCATAAAGCAAAAGAGAATGAGATTAAATCTAGACTACAGTCAATAGAAAAAAGTCACAACTCTGAGGAACAGACTGGGACGGAATCAAAGGCAGATACTAAAATTGAGAGAGCTGAAAATATTGGGACAATTCAGAAGGAGCTTTCAGATAAGGATTGTATTTCAAATGATGAGGAAACTGATAGTGATATTAGTATAAAAGAAAACCTGTTCCTTTGAGGAATGTAAACAAAAGAAGTTTGAATCTTCTGTAGAACTTGATGAAGATACAAGTAATGATACACAAGTTGATGATATAGTTCCTCAATTAAAGGAAATATCAATAAATGATAAGGACAATGATGAAAAACAGTGTAATTCATGTCATATGTGTGTTCTTTGTAAAGTCTCAAAAATGTGATAGAGAAATCATGTAGACATGACGTTAAACCTGTCTGTGATAGAGAAACATTCTGCTGCTGGTACACATGTTGTACAAGGGTCAGTGGAACATGTTAATAAGTGCTCAGATTGTGGAACAGATGAGCATGAAGGTCTTGACAATACACTTGATAGGTCGGAATTAACAGAAAGTGTACTCACTGAAAAAACCTTACAAATCTGATAGTCAATGTAAAGAAGATGACTTGGTTAACAGTTTTTCAGAATGCAAATAATCTTGCAAAAAGATGTTTTAGACACAATAATAGATTCTGTGATTGCTGATTCTAGTATTGAAATGAAGTATAGTATTGATGAAACTGTTGAAGCTAAAGATGTTACTGTAGGGTCAGGTGATAAGGTGATAGATAAGACAACAGTTCATCAAACACTTGATGAATCAGATACAAGTTCAGGACTTAGTTCTGATGATGACATGGAGGAAGAGTCCCCAGGTTCTAGTCCATTAGCAAACACAGAGAAAAGAGTGTCAAGTCCAATTGGTGCACAATATAATTTTCTGTTTGATTCTGAGACCTTGACTGATGGAAAGGTACTATATATATTTTGTTTTTTAAAAATTCTTTTGATGTTTGAATTTATCTTATCTTTAAAAAGTTTGTTCTTAAGTGATCTACATTTTTGTAATTTGATATCTACTACTTTAGTATTACATAGTTGTTGTTTTTTTTAAAGAACATTCAAATGTTGTATTTCATATTAAAATTGAGCTGCTGTTATAACTCTTTGTCTATTGTACTAAACTAAATCATTTGAAATATTTAAATTTTATAACTTAATTGCAATACACACCCTATACTCTTTCTTGATCTTGTCTTCTGGTAATATATTCGCTTTGTAATGTTGAATCATCTGAAGATAATTGATAATCTGTAGGGACCATCTGTGTTCTGTCCAATATGTGAGAAAGAAGGACATTTGAAATCCAACTGTCCAGAGGATCAGCTTCCTGTCTTGAAGAAACTTCCACCTGTATCCAAAACACATCTTCAACTACTCACCACTGTCATTAAAGGAGTTCCAGGTTTGTTCATTTTGTAGAACTGTTTAATACTTGCTTGTGTGTCTTATATTCCAAAAAAAATACTCATACTTTTATTCACAAACTGCTTACACTTAGTTAATAATTAGGCATAGGAAACATATGAAAAAGGTAACCTGTTTCTCCTAAAATAGAAATTCAGGTTTCTAAAATGATTCATAAATGTCCAATCATGTATTACAGGAGATTTCAAGTTGACTAAAGATGAAATTAGTGAAAGAGAATTTGTGAGGAAAAACCTTGAAGTTCACATACAAGGTTTATATCCTGGTAAGTAGTGTAACATTTTTATTTTCTGTCAACACATAGGAAATGGGAGATGTATTTTTGTCTTGGCTATTGATTTGATATTTGTCTTACCCTGTAGATAACATTTTCATTCTGTAAGTTGAAGCGTACATTCTTGGACACATAATAAGTATGCCCCCACTTCGAAGAAGAGGGGGTATATTGCTTTGCACTTGTCTGTCCGTCAGTCCATCGGTCCATAGACCAAATGGTTTCCGAGTGATAACTTAAGAACCTTTAGGCCTAGGAACTTCAAACTTGGTATGGTGATTGGTCATGACCAGTAGATGACCCCTATTGATTTTGGGGTCAAGGGGTCAAAGGTCAAGGTCACATTGACCTTGTATGTTAAAACGGTTTTCTGATCAATAACTAAAGAACGCTTAGGCCTAGGATCTTCAAACTTGATATGGTGATTGGTCATGACCAGTAGATGACCCCTATTGATTTTGGGGTTCAAGGGGTCAAAGGTCAAGGTCACATTGACCTTGTAGGTAAAAACGGTTTCCGATCAATAACTAAAGAAACCCTTAGGCCTAGAAACTTCAAACTTGGTAAGATGATTGGTCATGACCAGCAGATGACCCCTATTTGATATTAGGGTCAAGGGGTCAAAGGTCAAGGTCACATTGACCTTGTAGGTAAAAACGGTTTCTGATCAATAACTAAAGAACGCTTAGGCCTAGGAACTTCAAACTTGGTATGATGATTGGTCATGACCAGCATATGACCCCTATTGATTTTGGGGTCAAAGGTCAAGGTCACATTGACCTTTTAGGTAAAAACGGTTTCCAATCAATAACTAAAAAAGGCTTAGGCCTAGGTACTTCAAACTTGGTATGATGATTGGTCATGACCAGCAGATGACCCCTATTGATTTTGGGGTCAAGGGTCAAAGGTCAAGGTCCACATTGACCTTGTAGGTAAAAACGGTTTTCGATCAATAACTAAAGAACCCTTAGGCCTAGGAACTTCAAACTTGGTATGATGATTGGTCATGACCAGTAGATGACCCCTATTGATTTTGGGTCAAGGGGTCAATGTCATATTGACCTTGTCCTTAATGACCGTTTCTGACCAATAACTCAACAACTCAAGTTGCCCTTGGTTGATATTTTTATGTGCTTTTGGTATACACATTTGAAGGTCTTATGTAATATAACAACTTGGCTGTCATTAATGAGGCCTATGTGATGAATAAAATTTATGTATATATTATTTGGTAAGATTTTTTAATAACTTTAATTGCTGCACACAACCTATGGGGTCACAATAATTATTACCTTGTGACTCGTCATGACAAGTAGATACTAGATAACCCTTATTAATTGCTTGTTTTTATTGGGTCAGAAGTCATGCATAATAACTGATCACATGACAAATTGGCTGCTGATAGGGGGCATACATGTTTTACAAACATATCTTGTTTATTATTGAGATTTTGTTGTACTGACATTTTTCTTTTATGGAAACCTCATTTAAAAAAATAATGGAGGGGGGGATAGGGTGTGGTAATTATCTGTATGTTTTACTTTAAAAAATATTTTTTACACTACTTCTTAATGATAGATTCATTATCGACACAATAGAATGGTGAATTATAATAAATGATCTATTAATGGCTATTTGATGCTTACTCATGGAAAAAATGAGTGAAAAAGTACTGTGTCATTAATTCTTGAAAGCTAGCAAATGTTGTTGAATGTAATAACCTGTCTCAGATATCATTGGCTAAAATGACCTTATAAAAAATTGATAAAGAAACAGAATATGTTCTAGTTTAAATTATATTTATTTCTTGTATCATTAGACGCACAGTTACGGTTGTTTGGTTCATCAATGAATGGATTTGGATTTCATCAGAGTGACCTAGATATATGTGTAGTCTTCAAAGATAAGGGCCCTGAGGTATATATTTTTATTTCCATATGATAAATTTGATAGCTGAAAATAAAATTTCAATAAGGCTCGAGTATTTCAATATTGCTGATATTGTAAGGTCTGATGTTTTGCTGGACTTCCAAAATTATTGAATTTGAAAAACTTTCTTTAACATTTTTCAGGGAATGAATTTTGTTGAACACATTGAAGCGATATGTAAGAGCCTGAAGACTCACAGGGGACTGTATGGTGTATTTCCTATCACCACTGCTAAAGTCCCTATTGTCAAGTTTAGACATCGCAATAGTCAATTAGAAGGTGACATTAGCATGTACAATATCTTGGTAAATATACAAAATATTTTGCTGATTTTTGACAATTGTTAATACATTTGTGAAAAGCACGTTGATATTAGAAAACATCATTAACATTACGAATTTTATTTTCTGACATCTTACAGAATTGATGCATTTGTGGTTTTACTTCTTTTGTAGAAGATATATCTATGAATACTTGGTAAAGCTTGTTGTGCATTAAAAGAGACCCAGGGCTTCCATTAGTGAAAGTTTGGGAGTCATTTACTTCTATATTTTGGCTTGTGAATTCCAAAATGTAATGCTTTTCCTTCTTTACCTATATAATGTGACTTCCAATGCAATGTCAGACAATTTGCAGTCTCTGACTTCTAAATTTTGAAACGTAATCGAAGCCATGGAGACCGATACTTCTTTATTAATGATTGTTACTGAATGCATGTAAAATAAAATCTTTTGCCATTCATAGATTTTTAAGCACAGCAGTTGTGCTTCCCTGACATTTTTTGTTTTATTTAAGGCAATGGAAAACACAGATTTGCTGTATACATATGCTAGCATAGATTCTCGAGTTCAAACCCTGGGATATGCTATTAAAGTATTTGCTAAAGTTTGTGACATAGGTGATGCATCAAGAGGAAGTTTATCATCATACGCCTACATGCTTATGATGTTACATTACTTGCAGCACACCAAACCACCTCTCATACCTGTACTACAAGAGGTTAGTGTATAAATCCCCTTTATGCCTGTATTGCAGATGGTAAGATAGATAAAATGTCTCACATATTTGTATAACTGAAGGATTGATGTAAAAAATGCCTAACATATCTGTATTACTAGAGGATAAATGTATAAAATGCCTCTGGAGTCTGGACATACCTGTATTGCTGGAGATTAAGTGTATAAAATGTCTCACACATCTGTATTGCAGGAAATAATTGTATGAAATGCCCAGCACACTTGTATTTCAGCAGAATAAGTTTATTTTATGCGTAATATAAAATGTATAGTATAAAATACCTCACACAGCTGTATTGCAGGAGGTTAAGTATATAAATTCCCTGGATTACCTGTATTGCAGGATCTAAGTATATTTATTGATGCATCTCACATACCAGTATTACCTGTGTGTAAAGCAACTCTTGTATTGAAGGAATTAAGTCTGCAAAGCTCTTGTCATTCCTGTATTGCAGTAAATAAAGCATATTCTTCTTGTGAAGTAGGTAGTATAGGAAATAAAATAGATTAACCTAACCACAGTTATTTGTCAGATATTTGTTGGAACAATAATTTAGTTCTAGTATTGAATCCAGCTTTATACTTGTACTTCTATTTTCAGCTACATGTAGGTCCAAAACCGGAGCATATAGTTGAAGGATGTAACACTTGGTTCTTTGATGATCTCTCTAAACTGGTAAATTTTACATGTAATTTTAAAATTCAGTGCTATTACAACTTTAATTTACTCGAGATGTTTGTTAAAAGAAAAGTACACTTTTAAAATATGTAATTGATTGTAATGGGAAAAAAATCAATAAAGTGGATGATTTAGCTTTGGTGATGTTTTTAATCCCATTTAATTTAGATGCTTCTGTGTTACTATTTACCATTTACACTGTTGTAAATATAACCTGACCTTAGGAATGGGAGACGATACTTGTAAATGCTCTATAAAAATTTCTATATACTCATATAAAAAAGGTTTTAAAAAACTCCTTCATTTTTTAAATGGTTTGCCAGATATTTCGTTATGAACATCTATCATTGGTGTTTGTTCCTTCATGAAATTCCTTAAAATTGATATCTTAAACAAGAAAAACCATTGTGTGATGTGATCATTTTGTTTTTAATTGATGTATGCTGTATAAACAGAATATTACATTGGAGATCTCACTAACCCATCTTGAAACTGTGTGCATTAAGTAGATTATTCAGAAACCAAACTGGTAAACTTAACCCTTTCGCTGCCAGAGGGTTATTGTTTTATTGATCACCTATTTGCCAGAGGGTTTTCTTAAAAAAATACTATATTATTAATTAATATAATTATTATCCCCCGCCGAAAAGGCGGCGGGGGATATAGAAATAGTCTCCGTCCGTCCGTCCGACATTTTTGTCCGGAGCATATCTCTAAAAGTATTTGAGTTATCAACTTGAAACTTCATAGGTGGATAGACCTCATTGAGGAGGAGTGCAGTGCATAAGAATGATAACTCTACCCTGCATAATTTTTTAATTATTGCCCTTTGTTATTTTTCAAAATTGATTTTTGTCCAGAGCATAACTCCAAAAGCCTATGAGATATCAACATGAAACTTCATAGGTGCATAGATCTCACTCAGGAGGTGTGCAGTGCACAAGAATGATAACTCTATCTTTCATAATTTTTAAGTTATTGCCCTTTGTTATTTTTCATACTTAATTTTTCACCTGAGTGGAGCATAACTCAAAAAGTGTTTGAGATATCAACATGAAATGTCAAAGGTGGATAGATCTTATTGAGGAGGAATGTTGTGCGCAAGAATGATAACTCTTCCCTATACAATTTATGAGTTATTGCCCTTTGTTCTTTTTCATGCTTTTTTGTCCAGAGCTTATCTCTAAAAGTATTTGAGTTATCAACTTGAAACTTCATAGGTGGATGGATCTCATTGAGGAAGAATGCAGAGCACAAGAATGATAACTTTACCCTGCATTATTTTTGAGTTATTTCCCTTTGTTATTTTTCAAAATTGATTTTTGTCCAGAGCATAACTCCAAAAGCCTATGAGATATCAACATGAAACTTCATAGGTGCATAGATCTCACTCAGGAGGTGTGCAGTGCACAAGAATGATAACTCTATCTTTCATAATTTTTAAGTTATTGCCCTTTGTTATTTTTCATACTTAATTTTTCACCTGAGTGGAGCATAACTCAAAAAGTGTTTGAGATATCAACATGAAATATCAAAGGTGGATAGATCTTATTGAGGAGGAATGTTGTGCGCAAGAATGATAACTCTTCCCTATACAATTTATGAGTTATTGCCCTTTGTTCTTTTTTCATGCTTTTTTGTCCCAAGCTTATCTCTTTAAAGTATTTGAGTTATCAACTTGAAACTTCATAGGTGGATGGATCTCATGAGGAGGAATGCAGAGCACAAGAATGATAACTTTACCCTGCATTATTTTTGAGTTTATTTCCTTTGTTATTTTTCAAAAAATTAATTTTTGTCCAGAACATAACTCCAAAAAAACCTTTGAGATATCAAAATGAAACTTCATTAGGTGCAATAGATCTCACTCAGAGGTGTGCATGCACAAAGAATGATAACATTACCGTTCATTAATTTGTGAGTTATTGCCCTTTGTTTCTTTTTCATACTATTTTTGTCCGGAGCTTATCTCAAAAGTATTTGAGGTATCAACTTGAAACTTCATAGGTGGATTGATCTCATTGAGGAAGAGTGCAGTGCACAAGAACGATAATTCTACCCTGCATAATTGTTTAGTTATTGCCCTTTTTTTTATTTTTCAAAAATTAATTTTTGTCCAGAGCATAACTCAAAAGGCATTTGAGATATCATTATGAAACTTCATAGTGCATAGATCTAACTCAGGAGGTGTGCAGTGCACAAGAATGATAACTCTACCTTTTTAACAATTTTTGAGTTATTGCCCTTTGTTATTTTCATACTTAATTTTTCAATTCAATTTTTTCTCAAAAAGTATTTTGAGGTATCAACTTGAAACTTCATATGTGGATAGATTTTACTTAGGAGGGATGCAGCACACAAGAATGATAACCTACCCTGCATTATTTTTCAGTTATTGCCCTTTGTTATTTTCAGCCATCAGTATTCACATAGGTTTCAAATCTGTAATCACTATAGCCATCAGTTTTCATTACCAAAAGATGGAATTATTCTGCTCTACTACATATACATTCTTCCAATGAGCAAACACATTCGGCGGGGGAATGCCATGTTGACATGGCTCTTGTTATTATTATTTGTTATTAGTATTATAATAATTATATATGTTTCCAAATATGCAAGTATAATAAAAATTATTGTTGATGGTATAATCTTCTTTATATTTATTATTATTATTATTATTATTATTATTATTAATTTATTATTATTATTATGATTATTATAGAAACGGCTAAAGCCGTCCATATGGCAAATACGCCGAAAATAACAGGGACGGCTTAAGCCGTCCCTATGGCAGTGAAAGGGTTAAACAAGGGAAGAAACAAGCACATGACCTTACTTAACAGGGCTGTGTATTACCAGGCAAGATGTGAGATGATATGTTTTGTGGTACAAAGGAGCCTGTATATTGACTTATATAATGAAATAATCAAACAATAATCAATTATAGAGTTATCAGTCTCACTATCAATTAATACAAAACATGTAACCCACATGCTAGTAGATATAGCACAAATTCACAATTATAGAATTGAATCATTCAGCAAGACTAAATTTCTAAATTACGAGCCATTCCTGTTGTATGATTTTTCCATGATGCAGATCAATAATTATACAATAGTCAGGTGTTCTGTGTTTTTCTGTACACATTCATTTTTAAATCAGTGTACTGTGTGTTACTATTAAGAGGAAATTTAATATCAAACTCATTTTCATAATTAAAAGATTCTTAGACTGGAATACTGCTAGCTTTGGACATAACATTTTTTTTGCTCATGTACACTATTTATAAGACATCTTTTGTTACAGTTTAAGTATCTGGCAATACAAGGGCAGGCAAATATTTGTATCCATTATTCCTTAGGAGTTCACAAATTTTAGTGGTTTGTTATAGCCCTTAGCTGCCTCTCAATATTAGGTACCCACACACCAAGTTTGGTGTCAATAAGCCAAAGCATTATTTTATGTATTCTTTATATTGAGGTGACAATATATAATATCTTGTTTATTTTCATGTAGGCTGATGTGTGGCCAGAATGTGGCAGGAACAATCAGAGTGTTGGTGAACTATGGCTTGGTTTCTTCAAGTATTATCTTGAAGAATTTAACTTTACAGAGCAGGTTGTCACTATCCGACAGTTCAAAACTCTCACAAAGTTTGAGAAACTTTGGAATGGCAAATGTATTGCCATTGAGGGTATGTTGATGTTTTTTGTTGTAGCTTTATTATGCAAAACTGGTAAGAAGATTCATAAATATCTGTGCGAGGGAGGGAGTTTTATGATTAAAAACTTATGGCAGAATTATGGCCTTTCATTTTGTTTTCAGCAGTATTCACAAAAAGAATGGTTTTATGACAATGTCCTGCTACTTGTTATTTTTAATGAAGTTAATTTGTTCAGGGTATTCATCATCATTTTGAAAAGTTGATGATTATCTCAAATACATTTGATTGGTAAATAAAAACCAATAATTTTTTTCATACTTGAAAAATTGTATGTTTGATATATACTGTGTACTTATGCTTATAATAAAGAAAAAAAAATCTATGAATTTATGCTTTCAGATCCATTTGATCTTGGTCATAATTTGGGTGGTGGACTTACCAGAAAAAGTAGGATATAATTCCTTTTGATTATTTCCAGTTCAATGCAGAAAGTATATTCCTAATTATTTTGTACAGTATCTTTTCTAGTCACTAGCATTTGTTAAGATACATTTATAGAATTGATTTAAGAAGTGAAAGTGTAAATGACTCCTTGTTTTTTAGCTCACCTGTCACAAAGTGACAGGGTGAGCCTCTGTGATCGCTTTTCGTCTGTCGTCCGTCCGTCCGTCCGTAAACTTTTACTTTAAATGACATCTCCTCATAAACCACTAAGCCAATTTCATCCAAACTTCAGAGGAATGTTCCTTTGGTGGTCACCTTTAAAAATTGTTCAAAGAATTTAATTCCATGCAGAACTCTGGTTGCCATGGCAACCGAAAGAAAAAACAATAAATATCTTCTTTTAAAAAATCCTAAGAGCTAGAGCTAAGATATTCAGCATGAAACATGTTCTAATGAGTATCTACCAAGTTTGTTCAAATAAAAGCCCTGGGGTCAAAATTGGCCCCGCCCCGGGGGTCATTGATTTTCCTTATATGTGTATAGCAAAAACTTAAAAAATCTTCTTTGAAAAAACCCAAATAGCTAGAGTTTAGATATTAAGCATGAAACATCTTCTAGTGAGTGTCTACAAAGTTTGTTCAAATAAAAGCCCTGGGGTCAAATTGGCCCCGCCCCGGGGGGTCATTGATTTTCCCTATATGCATATAGTAAAAACTTAAAAAATCTTCTTTGAAAAAACCCAAATAGCTAGAGTTTAGATATTAAGCATGAAACATCTTCTAGTGAGTGTCTACAAAGTTTGTTCAAATAAAAGCCCTGGGGTCAAAACTGGCCCGCTCCAGGGGTGTCATTGTTTTTAACTATTTATGTTAAAAATCTTCTTTTAAAAAACCCATTGAGCTAGAGCTTAGATGTTTAGCATGAAATATCTTCATATGGATGTCTACCAAGTTTGTTCAAATAAAAGCCCTCGGGTGAAAATTGGCCCTGCCGGTGGAGGGGGGGGGGGGGGGGGGGGGGGGGGGGGAGGGGAGATCATTGTTTTTCATTATATGTGTGTAGTAAAAACTTAACATTGTGAAACATCTTCTAATGAGTGTCTTCCAAGTTTGTTCAAATAAAAGCCCTGGGGTTTAAACTGGCCCTGCTCCGGGGCCCTATATACAGGTGAGCGACCTCAGGGCCATCATGGCCCTCTTTTTTATTTTTCACAGTGTATGTGTATTAAGTTTGAATACATGCAGAATTGCTTTCTTACTGAAACCTGGAATTGAAAATGAAAAAAATAAATATATATTATGTGATATTTTATCTCAAGACTGACATAAAGCTGAAAAATTATTTGTATACATTGAACAATAAAGTGAACATGAAACATTGAACAACTGTACTATGAAGTACTTAGAAGCTTGAGTCCCACAAAAAAATTTGCAAATCACAATCAACTCAATGTTGTTTGTAGGTGACCTGCAACATTTTGAATTCATAGCTGTTAAACACTCCTCCTAAATAACTGTCCAACAAAACATCTTCAAATTTTCAAAAAATTCATTATAAAGTCAGTTGTGTTTGCAACAAATTTGCCTAAAAGTTGCCTGCACTAGAATGATTATTGGATTCAGAATATATGGGGAAAAACAGTTTGCCAAACAAGTCTCCAAACATTGGTTTCAATGGATACCATTTATTCTCCTTTAAGTATCAAATATCCATTTGCCTACCTAATAATGAAAATTAAAATAAGTTGTTTAACATGTATACGAATTTTTGTGTGCTTTGATGAAGAAATAAATTTTTAAGAGGAAAATTCTGTGAATTTATCAATCAACCCTTGAACATATAGCTTAATCAAGGTATTGAAATTTTAGAAATGTTTTGTAGATATTTTACATTTATGATATTTGGACATGATTTTAGCTTGTTATATTTTTAGTGAACCATTACATACAGTCTACATATGTTCATGCCAGGGAGTTATATGGGACAAATATTTATGGTAAACCTGAAGGATTTAATACTATACAGGTAGGACCTCACGTCTTAATTAGTATTTATTTTATTGTGTGGTTGTATAATGATATTTTTGTGTAGCTACTGCTAGATATTGGTATCACTCCTAAAGACTGGTATAACTTACACTGTTTAGAATTTTTTCAGTTTTCATACCCTATACATGGTCATACCTTGTACATTGTCATACCCTATACATGGTCATACCCTATACATGGTCATACCCTATACATGGTCATACCCTGTACATGGTCATACCCTATACATGGTCATACCCTATACATGGTCATACCCTATACATGGTCATACCCTGTACATGGTCATACCCTGTACATGGAATACCCTATACATGGTCATACCCTATACATGGTCATACCCTATACATGGTCATACCCTGTACATGGTCATACCCTGTACATGGTCATACCCTGTACATGGTCATACCCTGTACATGGTCATACCCTGTACATGGTCATACCCTGTACATGGTCATACCCTATACATGGTCATACCCTGTACATGGTCATACCCTGTACATGGTCATACCCTATACATGGTCATACCCTGTACATGGTCATACCCTGTACATGGTCATACCCTGTACATGGTCATACCCTATACATGGTCATACCCTATACATGGTCATACCCTATACATGGTCATACCCTATACATGGTCATACCCTGTACATGGTCATACCCTATACATGGTCATACCCTGTACATGGTCATACCCTATACATGGTCATACCCTATACATGGTCATACCCTGTACATGGTCATACCCTGTACATGGTCATACCCTGTACATGGTCATACCCTGTACATGGTCATACCCTGTACATGGTCATACCCTGTACATGGTCATACCCTGTACATGGTCATACCCTATACATGGTCATACCCTATACATGGTCATACCCTATACATGGTCATACCCTATACATGGTCATACCCTGTACATGGTCATACCCTATACATGGTCATACCCTATACATGGTCATACCCTGTACATGGTCATACCCTGTACATGGTCATACCCTATACATGGTCATACCCTATACATGGTCATACCCTGTACATGGTCATACCCTATACATGGAATACCCTATACATGGTCATACCCTATACATGGAATAGCTGAAGTTTACAAAGTCATAAATAGTATATTTTTTGGAGGACTTAATAGAAGTTATGTGAAACTTTCAAAATTGAGTTTTTTCTAATAGATTTGTTCTTTTATCATTTGCTTGTTACAAGTATTTACTTTGCAAACAGTTGAACTTAATAAATCATTTATAATTACTTTACAGGATTACTTTTTTGACCAAAGTCAGTTGGTAGATGGGGAACCACCATCAGATAGATTGTGTCGTGTCTGTGGTAAAATAGGTCATATTGCGAGGGAATGTCCAAGGCTTATTGCCAGGAAAGAAAGGTAAGATCAATTTCTCTTATAGGTGATACAATAATACACAACTGGCTTTGTCTTATATGTGATACAGGAATGCACAGTTAAATTTGTCTTTCATGTTATTCAAGAATGGCCAGCTCGATTGAGTGTCAACTTGACTTGTAACTGTATGTGATACAAGAATGCAGAGCTTGCTTCAGCCTCAGTTTGTCTTATATGTGATACAGAAATACACAGTAAAATATGTCTTATATGTGATACAATAATGTACAGCACATTCTGTCTTATATGTAATGCAACAGTACACATCTTACTTGAGCTTCAATTTGTCTGAAATGTATTACAAAAATGCCTAGCTTGCTTGAGCGGCAATGACCGCAGCACTGTTATTTGCTGAAGTGATTCATGTAGTATTGAGGAGACTTCTGCTATTGTGAACTTAACTAGGACTGTAGATCATCAGATGATTTGATTGTACAATCTAATCATTTTGTTACAACTAATCATTCACAGATAATAGAAAGTAAAATAAAACTTACCAATTAATGTTTCAATAGATAACTAACTTTGTTGTGAATAAAAAGAAGTTTAAAGATGTATATTATTGTTTAGGGAAGCTGCAGAAAGAAAGAGGAGGGAAGATTTAAAGAATTCAGAACCAGATAGTATGAAGGGATCCCCACAACATAACATGCCTCCAAGGCAAAATAACAACAGAGGTACTTTCTTCATATGATATATTAAATAAAAAAGTTGTGACAACTGGTTTAATTAACATATTCCTAAAGCTTAGATATTTGGCATGAAACATCATATTGTGTGCCTCTACCAGATTTCTTAAAACTTAAGACCAAGGGTCAATATTTGCCATGCCTTGGTCATGGGTGTTTCTTTAATAAACATTCTACTTTACCTGCAAAGGCTTGAGCTTAGGTATTTGGAATGAAACATTGTCTGGTGGACGTCTACCAAGATTGTTGGAATAAAGCATTTGGGTCGAAAAGGCCCTATTGTTTGAAATCATTGTAAATTATTTGCTAAATTTACATTATTGAGAAAATGAAGAATACAAGAAACATTGCACTTTAAATATTGTTGTTAAAAATAAATATTTATATGTAGTTAATGACACAAGTTATTACTAAATTTTTTTACTGCGTGACTAATACTGTAAAAGCTTTTTTTGCATATTTTGACATCTTTTTGGTAATTTACATTGGTTGTAAGTGCTGTTTGCAATGTGTTAATTACTTTCTTTGTTCACTTCACAATATTTTTTTTTATATACACTTTCAGCATTTTCATTTGTTTTAGTTTGTGTTTGAAGCTATAAGCTTATTAAAACAGTCTCAAATCCATTCCTGTATCAACCAGTACTAAGTAAGCAATGAGTGCAAAGTTTATTTTTCATGGAAACAACATGGCTTGCCCCTTACAAGGTTTGAAAACCATTTGGTCAGGAACACTGAAATGACTAGTCTGACATGTTAACCACTCAGCTATGACGCCATTTACATATGATATTTCAAGTTTGATATTTATATATGTTTTAAATGATATAAATATATGTTTTGCATATATTGCCAAACACAATGTATGCTGTTTTGCAAAATGATTTTAAACTTGACATAATAATTATAGATAGAGCCATAACACAGAGATCGGCATCAGATCCAGCTAATGGAGACAGTCCCGTCAGAGGTCAAGGTCATCAGCCTTTCTACCGCAGACAAACCTCCATGCCAAATCAAGCTCCTGATTCTGTATGAGTTTTGATATTTTACTTCCAGTTGAATTTTATAACTTAGTAACTGTATACTACAGTTGTACTTATTTGAAGTCATTGATTTATAAAAAGTATTTTCTAAATTAACATTAATGTGAAGAGACTGTTACTAAGGCCATAAAAATTATTTTGACAACAATTTATACTATTTTATTTATGTAAGTTCATATATATATGTGTATGTAATTGCTTAGTCAAACTTTAATACTAAATACTACTGTAACTAATAATTCTTTGATAAACCTCTGAATATTGTTCATTTATTACCAGAATATATAAATTACTTTAAATCTTTTTGACTGAATTTGTTCAACATATTTCGCCTAATTTTTAGTCTTTTAAATTTATCAGTCAAAAGTTTATAGTTAGTTAGACTAAACATAATTTTGACATACATTAAAACAAAATATTTTTATATGCCAGTTGAAAATAATTTGACATATACTGGGATGACCCCTAGCAGGTTGGCTGTGTCTAGGCAGCATTCAATTTTGTACAGGGCTTATCATGTATTGAGAGATTTTAATAGAACATAGTACAAATGTTCACCATAATGCAGTGGTGTCCTGCATTAAGTTTAGGTCCATGTTGTCAAGGTCACACTTAGAGGTCAAAGGCCAGATAAAATATGAGAGTGTTCATAATCATGACACTAAGTCTTGCAAGCATGATCTAGGTCAATATATGCAAGGTCAAGGTCACTAGAGATGATGAAATGTCCAGGCAGCATTCCTTTATGTTTGGTGTATGCATGGAAGGAACTTAGAGGTCAACGAAAAATACTTGTCCGGAGCTAACGTCTAAGGTCAGATTAGAAAATGAAAATGAAATCATCTAGTCATCATGCATCATGGGGTTTTATTATATATATTGACTATTGTTAGACTGAGCATTTGTGATGTGCGTATTTTGTGATATATTGGCATGCATGTTTTAACAGTTTTGTCACTATGGCTGTCTGTATATACTTATTAGGATAAGTAAAGAATATTTTTGGGAAAAGTATCGCCAAAAGGTAGATAAGTGTTATGACATACATCATAGTCTGTTTCCATTAGATCTGTAAGGAATACCACCATTGTTAGATCTTTTAAACTGTTTACGAGGTCTTTATAAGACTTTTCTATGTTTGATTTCTCTGAAAAACTGAGGCAATGCTTTCATACTCTTCATATGAACTAAACATTATTAAAATGACTTCCAAAGGATTTTCTTGAATTTTATTTATTTAAGGAAACCATTTATTTAAGGAAACCCATTTTCTATTATTTTTTTTTAAATATATAGAGACAAAGGAGACCATTACTAGAATCACCGATACAAGATCGATACAGTCATAACTATCAGAGTCCAAGATCACCTCGTCAAGACTTCCAGCAGCACCATGGTTCAAACCGTAGACCACATCCTGGTTCACCTGCACACATAAATTCTCCATACAGACAACAAGGCTATCATAATCAGCAGCATCAACAATATTATCCTGACAACCACAATGATAATTCCAGTCTCAGATTTAACCAGGGTCAAAGTCCAGGGCAGGGTCAAGGTCAGAATAGAAATAGGAATGGTTCACAGTATTTTTATGATCCCAGATCTCAACATAACATGATGCAGCAGGGAGATAACATTAATTACCCATCATCCCCTTCAGGAAACAGAAATCAACCCCAGTTCAGGAACCAGTACTATGAAGGATCCCCACAGGTATATGTTAGTTCAGGGAGCCCTGAAAGTGGTGGAATTCCAAACATGTTATATACTAATCTGAATCAACCATTTAACTTTCCAATGAATGTATTTCAATCAGTACCTCCTTTGTTTGTTAACTCAAGCATGGCTGTCAATCATGCATATCAACCAATGGTTCCATTTGCAACCATTCCACCAATGGCTAATGTACAAAATAATGTACCAGTCTGTGCAGCAGGCTGGCACCCAGGTAAAGTCGGAATACCAGTCAATGATGAGCATCTTGCAGTATCTCGGCAGGAAACCAGTCTTAAATTTGATGTAAATTCTGAGATTCAGGATTCGTTACTGAATGCACAACAGCTAACAGAGGTATCATTTTGTGTTGCTGTATGGTAGTGCTTTATCTGCCTTTGCAAAGTTTTACCTTTTGTGCTGCAATTTCCGTCCTTTTACACTGATCAAAATTTCCCTGAGTTTCTGATCAAAATTGTCAAACTAATTCTAACAAGAAATATTTTCATATAATCTTAAGTGCATAAATAGTAGATGATTCTTTACATGGCAAATGAATTGTCACCCAACAAACTGACAATAATTGTCAGCTTTTGTAAAATATACATGTAGATCTATTCAATAAAGCTTGATTTTTAGCATAATATTTATAAAACACTGAACTGAAGAGCATGTAGATTCTTGTGTTTTCTGGCTGATCTCTGTTTTAAACAATTTCAAATTATTAATTAGCTAATTTGTAGACCTTATATTAATGTTTAAATATTAACATACTTGTAGCTATACTGTGTCTACTAATAATTTCTAAAGAAGTCTGATAACTTCTGTACAATCCTAATATCTGTAATCAACTGGCATGGTTTGTTTTGCTGTTCTTGTGTTGCATGCCTCTGTTAACTTTGCATGTCCTCACATCCTTACAGTGTTTTTTAAATGCAGTTTTTGGGCCAATAAATATTGGCCCCATTCTCAAAGCCAGATCATATCCTTTTAATGAAAATTCACAATTGTTGTTACTTAATTTGGAACTCTACACTTGTTAGTTTATTTGGAACTTTTCCAAATCAGAATTTGCTTGAGCCAATCAGAATTGTCAGCTGTGGTCATTGGCAGCATTGCTAATGAACTTAAAATCATGAGAAACAGACAAAATAAACTTAAAAAAAATCATTTGATACAGTGTTTATCAGGAATCAGGACATTATAAGAGTATTTTGATCTAGACTTGCATTGGACTGTCATGTATTTCACTAGCTTTGATCATGCTTGGCTCTTCATGCCCTGTACAATCCTGACCTGGCAAAATCCATTCAAGTCAATACAAGATCCAGATCAAGACCCTCTTATAATAAGCCAGTTATATGGATTGTGCTAAACAACAGATACATGATACAGGGAAAAGCTGTGTGAATGACATGATCGTAAATAACAGAAATGTTTATATTACAAGAGCTGTCAATTTTATTTGTTGAAATATCTTTATTTATATGAGATAACTTTTATGTTCCTGAATTTGCTGAATACTTGCTTTTTTGCATTTGGAAATATGCATTGTAAATTAGAAGTAAAGGAGTTTCAATATTTAAGTGCTGAAATTTGATAGTAGGGAGTCTGGTGAGGCTGTCATAGGTACATTATTATCATTAGTTAGAGTTAAAGAAGTCTTGAGATTGCTAATTAAAAAATATATTAATTAAGAGTTACAGCGTTTTCTTCAGATAAATTGTGAAATGTGAACTATATGTCAGAAGCATTGATGTTTTAAGAAACTGATAAATGTATTATATGGAGTATTTAATTATCCAAATTTACAGGGTTTTAGTCAATACTGATATGAAATCAGACATTTTGCTTGATATTTCCCACAGTTATGATAAATGATGTACATGTATAACCTATCTTGTTTTACCTGCTATATTGACATCTTTCTCTCTATAATGTATGCACGGTGCACCTAATGCTTTAACTTGCAAGTAATGTCAGTAACTTAAACAGATATCTAATAAAGCATGTGTTCAATTTTTATTTACATTTGAGCGTAACAAATGTCATTTTAATAATGTAATGGTATTCAATATACATATTAAAAAAATGAAGAAATTCATGGAATATTTTTACTAAGATGAACTTCTAAGATTTCACAAACTATTTTTGGATAACACTTATATAAGTATATTGTGTTTTTCATTTTAAAGGTATTGTGAGAATCTTGTTGTGTTTAAGAATTATTTTTTTTGTGTGTTGCAGTCACCTCTTAACAAGGAGAGAAAAGTTAATGTCCAAAGAAACAGCAATAAGGAGAAAGTACATGTATCTGATTTTGGTTAGTTCTCTACATACTGTGTAAAAATTACCTCTTGTTATTAATTGTAAAACTTAAAATCCTGACATCTGACTATACAATGTTTTCAAGTAGGTTATATGAATATACAAATGTATATATGAGCCGCACCATGACAAAACCAACATAATGCGTTTGCGACCAGCATGGATCCAGATCAGCCTGCGCATCTGCGCAGTCTGATCAGGATCCATGCTGTTCGCTATCAGTTTCTCTACTTGTTATAGGGTTTGTAAGCGAACAGCATGGATCCTGATCAGAATGTGCGGATGCGCAGGCTGGTCTGGATCCATGCTGGTCGCAAACGCATTATGTTGGTTTTGTCATGACGCGGCTCATATTATACTAGGTGATCTATTATAATAATTATACATTATGTTATTATTTTATGAACAATGATAATCACCTTATTGTATTTTCATTTTAGTTGTATTTTGTGCTGGAGGCTTATCAGTTATGTTACATAAATGATTAACTTTGGAAATTTTTATGACATGCTATTTTTTTATATATATTTTCAGGAATTACAGTGAAAAATGAGTACTACAGCAGCAAGGACTAATGTGTTATCCATATTACCAACACATGGTGCTCAAGCAATGTTGTATTTTGTGTAACTCATCAAATCAATGTGTAAGACTAATTGTATAGATATTGAAGGATATTAGTAGGGTTTTTCATTTCTATTATGATATTATATGTCTATGAAGTGGATTCATTTTAAATATTGAATATTCATTTAAAAAATGACCATATGCTTTTCATAAGCCGTTATCAGCTTCTATGATTGTTTGATGTCAGATTAGAACTTTCATATTGATGTTTTATTAAAAAGAATTTAATGTTGATTGCCATGGTTACCTGATGGGGTAGAAATAAAGATATCTTTAATCAAAGTAAGCTTGCATTATAGTAAGGCAGCATGATTTACTTTCAGCCAATATGTGTTGATAGGTTCCTTAGAATTTCCTCCATTTTTCAATGGTACAGATTGATACCAGAGTAGTTTTTTCTTAATGATAAGAATAAAATGTTTTCATGTTTACCAGTCATTTCCGGATAGTACTTGTAATTTTTTCAATACTTTTTTTACTTCTAAACTCTTTTTATATCTTGATAGTGAAGAGCAGACTGTTATGAGAAATATGTTATGTTTTTTTAATGCATTGTCGAGGATTTTTTTTTTATGTAACATACATATCAGTAGAAAAATGCATGATTTTATTTCAAGATTTTCTAGCAAGTGCGTTTGTTTTATGGTGCATATTTACTTATTTTATTAGTATTTCATTAGAAATGTTACACTTGTTTTTATGCACTCACTTAGGGAGCGTTTTATGAAGGGACATTGCCCATAGCCTGAAGATGACCTGTATTGATTTTGAGATAATTAGGTCAAAGGTCAAAGTGACACTTGCCTGATCAATAACTTGAGAATTAAAAAAGCCTGAGTTTATGAAATATTGTAGGGACATGGCCGGCATGGTCAGTAGGTGAACCCAAATTATTTTGAGGTTATAGGTCTAGGTCACGGTAAAACATGATGTTAGATCCTTCTCTTTTATTTATAACGAGTTTACTCAGTCATAGGTTTAAAACTTATAAATACCACTAATACATGTATATATATTTCTTTTTTATATAACACTTGACCTTCATGAAATACACATATGTATGGAAATTGGCCACTTTGACAGGTTATTGAAGTGTGGGAATGGGTGTCCTATAAACACATTTTAATTATATGATGATTTATTGTTTTAATAGATTTATTGTAGTTTAAAATATATACTTTTAGCTAAATCAAAGAGTAATGTTAAGTGCCTTTCCAATGACAGTTTGATTAAAAGCTCTGCATACTGGCAATGCAAATACTGTACTCAATTACAGGGTTACAGTTAACACTGTGAATACATACACTGTAAACATTGATTGAATACAGCTTTTACAAATCTGTTTGAAACACAGGCGCTAGTCACATAATCAAATATTTTTCATAATCAGCCTATATATGTATATAAAGATATCTTTATATACATATATATGTTGATTATGAAAAATATTTGATTATGTGACTAGCGCCTGTGGTTTGAAATAATTCAAATATACTTACTCTGGGAATAAGTAAAAAAAAATATATATATTTCATCAGTTTCTTTTTCTATGAACTTATAAGAGATAGTAATATTGTCAATCATAATTTAATTAATTTTAGATGATCTCATTGAGGCAGTTAAGCTTATTTCATGAGATAAGGATTATATTTACTCATGGTTGTAAATTATGTACTATTCCATTATTTATGATGCACAATGATTTTAAATGATTAGATTAGGGTAATAACTTGGATCAAGTTGAAACCTGACAATTGTTATACTTGAATGTTGTTCGTTCGTATAGGTTGCCCGAAGATAAACATACATGTATATTTGCTCGAGGTTTTTCAATAAGATTTGATTTATATGGGTTTTTTTTTAATGAAATGAAATTATAATTGTTTTTAATTTAAAATAATTGAAGGAGTACCGTATATTTGTTTGTAATGTCTTAAACATTTTCATTATATTGATAATAAAATGTTGACTATAGAGTGTTTTTTGTTGTTTTATTTTTCATGTATTACATTATTGATGAATTTATGATACAAAGTGCCATCCATGAATATCTTTATACCTTTTGGGGAAATTGATATTTTGGTTGATATACAAGTATTTGTGCATTTCAGATTAAAGTATCAGCTTTATTATCTAACTAAATGTCAAAGAAAGTTGAAGGAAATTAAAAAAATAAATTCATACAATATTTTAAGGTAATAAGAATTAGTGAAAATTATGCACCCGTTTGTGGTTCTTGTCTAATATCTTTCTAATTCTATTCTTTTTTAGGTAGATTTAATTAGCCATTGACATTATTTGACACTGACATTTGTTCAAGTTTCATGAATGTTTGTCTTAAAATCTTGTCGGCTGCCTATGGTGGGGATGTTGATTCAACTGACTTTATCAGTGTTTAACAATGTCTTGACTGTTCAAGGTAGCACTCCTCCATTCCATTGATTCACTACATGAGTCCTTTGATCCAATGTGTCATCATTATTGTAGACAGAATGATAAAACAAGTTTAAACTTTTTCTAACTGATGGTAAAGTATTGTGTTTGTGAATGGCATACAGAAGAACTAGCATTCAGGGGAACTAGCATACTGCATGAAAGGTATCTGGAAGCCTAAACGTTCTTAATAACATTGAGAGTTTAAGACACTGCTATTCCTTAATAATACTTTTTAACTTCATCAATGTATGCTGTTACAAGGTTGATAGAAATCTGTCACTAGACAAAGTTGTATTAGTAAGAAAAAGAACATAGTTACCATGGTGTGTCTGTTATAGACACCTTCGTCACTAGATCACTTTTTTGTGAACCTTCGGTACAATGTTATGCAACACATAATAAGATATATGCATCAGCATCTATCATTCATTTAAGATATACCATACCCATATTAAAAGAAGTTTTTAGGGTGTATTTAACATAACATAAAACTAAAAAAATAAAAAAAAATTAACTGGCTGGTGACAAGATGTCTAATGACCTGGTAATCACAACTACCTGGTCTTATTTTGTGATCACATGTTGTTAGTTGTCTTTGCATTCTGTTTGTCAACAATTTTGTGTCCACACACTAGCAGTTTCATTATTTATCTGAAACACACTGACACAGAACTTTTATCCGTTGTTAAACTGGCCATGTGCTTTGACCAGATTTAGTACTTTCAGAGTTAAGGGCCCTTGATTATATTGCTCAAATTTGTACATTGTATATAAATATTCATTATTCATAGTCGAACATATCAGCACATTGTAATTGTCTTCATTGGTTTAATTATCACTGCTTATCATTGCAGAAAAAAGCTTGGAGATATTGTAATGGCAATATGATAAATTATACAGATTCGTATCTTTTCACCACCTAAGTCTTGCTTCCTGTGTCAGAACAATTTCTTATCGTTTTGATCACCATAACAATAATTTCAGATTTCAACCTGTTGTTTTGTACATATAGTCATTCCCTCCCAGTATGATTATTGATAATATACCATATGATCTTGACTGATTCAGGAGTTTTTCATTAAAAGAACAAAACTAGAAGAAAAAAAACAAAAACAAAAACATTTATTTTGAATAATTATTTAATTCAAAATTTTATTTAATATATAATTTCATGTACAAGTTTATTGAGAAAACTAAGCTCTCCTAACATCATGTAGGCACAATCAAGGGCAGTAACTGTGAATTGTTTGTTCCACTTGCTGGCTGGTATTATCAGCCTTGTATCATTACTGTTGCTGTTACAAAACTTCTGTGTTTTATTCAGAATGATCTTGAAATAATGTGTCTCCTCCATTATGTTTGGTTCCTTCTTTAGGGTAACATAAAACTTCTGATGAAAATGTTCATAAAGAAGATGGTCAGCCATAGCCCATTCTTTCAGCAAGATTTTATCTTCAAAGCTCAGTTGAAAATCAAATGTTTTATATGCCTTGTTTTTCCTCATGTATAGAATATCTTTAAAATTCCAGCACAATTTTCGTTTTAAGATTATCAAAGACTCGTCAAAATATTCTGTAATTAAAACAAGGTCAAATACTCTATCAATCATTTTAATATACCTTCTGACATAGTTTTTGTCCCTGACCTTTGATGGGGAGAAACCAAGGTCAAGTGCCTGTCTGTTATTTGTGAATGACAGATATGGACTTTCAGGTTCATAAGCACTAGCATTTTTCAGGTAATAAGTTATATTGTTCATGGCTGCATCTAGAATTTTCTCATGAAGAAAGAATAATAATGCAGATAGAAACTGGTTAACTGGCTGTCTTACCATGGTTACATAAACTGTTGTATTCTTTGGGAATATTTTTACAAAATATTTGCGATTAAATATAACATGGTTATACAGTATATTGTACTTCTTCAATTTTGGTTTTGACGGTATGATGTTACCAAGTTTTAATGTGTCACCAATACCACCAAAATAATTGTACCGTAACTGACCATCAGTTTTATTTGGGAGAGCAAAGTTAAGGTTTCTATAGTAACCAAATCTCTGTAGAATATTTGCTATTGTTGAACTGCCTGTTTTATGGATTTTCAGGAAGACAATGTCATGTTTCTCTGTACAGGTCTGTGACTGTAGTGGAACTGTATCATTGGTAATCCAGTTATCGTGTATTGCCACCATGTAAAATACCATCAGCAATACTGTCATAAAAACGGGACAAAGACTGAAATAAAAAGTAACAAGCAAATTCGTTGAATTTATATCCCCCGCCGAGTACTGGTTATTATTAACACAACAACTGGAGACATAAGGCTTTATTTATATATTAATCATGGCATAAACAGTAATATTCTTTGAACTTATATTCAGGGCAATAACAGAGCCATAACTTTGTGTTAAATAGTAATATCTGGAAATGCCAATGAGATGTATGCATACTGCATAACTAATCAAGGGCCATAAATCTGAGTTAAAAGTATCTGACCGGAACAAGGCGACTAAATGCACATCTCCTCTTAGTATCCCATAAAGTTTCATTGAATTCCAGCCAGTAGTTAGAGAAGTAGCACTGAAACGATTATTGCTCTGGTTGTATACTGCCTAAGTTATCAAGGGTCATAACTCTAAGTTAAAATGTCTGACCCGAACAAGGCGACAATATGTGCATCTCCTTTTGGTATTGAAGGTTCCAATAAAGTTTCATTGAATTCCAGCCAGTAGTTGCAGAGAAGTAGCGAGAAACAAATATTTTTCTATATGCATACTGCATAACTAATCAAGGGCCATAATTCTGAGTTAAAGTGACTAACCCCAACAAGGCAATGATATGCGCATCTTCTCTTGGTATTGAAGGTTCCCATAAAGTTTCATTGAATTCCAGCCAGAGAAGTAGCGCGGTAACGATTTTTGCTCTTTATGCATACTGCATAACTGATCAAGGGCCATAACTCTGAGTCAAAGTGTCTGACCGGAACAAGGCAATGATATGCGCATCTCCTCTTGGTATTGAAGATTCCCATAAAGTTTCCTTGAATTCCAGCCAGTAGTTGCAGAGAAGTAGCGCGGAAACGATTTTTACTCTATATGCATACTGCATAACCAATCAAGGGCCATAACTCTGAGTTAAAGTGTCTGACCGGAACAAGCCAATGATTTGCGCATCTCCTCTTGGTATTGAAGGTTCCCATAAAGTTTCGTTGAATTCCAGCCAGCAGTTGCAGAGAAGTAGTGCGGAAACGATTTTTACCCTATATGCATACTACATAACTAATCAAGGGCCATAACTTTGAGTTAAAGGGTCTGACCGGAACAAGCCGACAATATGCGCATCTCCTCTTGATATTGATGATTCCCATAAAGTTTCCTTGAATTCCAGCCAGTAGTTGCAGAGAACTAGTCCGGAAACCAATTCGGAAGGACGGATGGACGGACAACGCCAAAACTATATCCCCCTCCCGATTTGATCGGCGGGGGATAATTACTTCTGACAGTAGGAACTGTTTCTTATTATTATCATACTATAAGTACAAGTATTTGGTGTTAAATGGTATGGTAGGATACCAATCTATTCAGTACATGATTACTTTAAACATTAATCTAGCATGCTAGTTTACTATTCATACTCAACAGCAAGGAAATGCTTTCAGAAGACTTTATTTTCTAATGAATGATATAAATATTGTGAGTAGGTTATGGTTTAAGAACTATATGTTTATCAATGGAAAAAAATAAAGTAAATGTATAAAATCATTTAAAAAAAACTTATTCTTTTAACACTTATTTATTTATTTTAATTTGTTGTAATATTGATACAATAAATACATACAATGGCTTTTTAAAATTCCATTTTAGGCACCTTATTATGCCTTTCCAAATTTTATACACCATTGCTAAATTAACATCAATAATTATAGAAATGTTTATCAATTTTCTGTAGTTTAAGTAATTGAACTGTCAAGTCAATATTAACAATAATTTTTCTTTTATCATGCATTACTCCTGGTGTTAGCACCTGCCACTAGAGATAAGATAGTTGGTTATTGTTTCTATAATCTCTATCATAAAACATGGCACTTATTTTATTGAATTTTATATGAAAGTAAATAACACAGATAGATCAATATTAATTTTACTATTCTTAAAATGAATTTTGCTATTTGACTTTTGTTATCAAAAGAAATACATTTATGAATAACCTTAAGAATAATAGGTATTTGTCAGATTTATATGGAGAAAATAAGGGAAATAAATAAATGGTTAAACACAGAATAAACTTTTATTAGCTCACCAGAATTTATGATCATGATAGGCCAAATACTAGCATTAACAATAAGAAATAAATTGTCTCCTTCGAAAGTACTGGTTAAGATTTTCTACGCATTTGTGCATCCTTCTATTCAATTAAATACCAGTTGCCCAAAGAACTTAAATTAAATATTTCATGAATTAATGTATAGATTATCTGTAAACTTGGTCTTTATTATTCCTAGGTGGTCTTTTATCAAGTTTGATCAAATGATTTTCATTGGCCTGGTTCAGGGTCCACCTGAACTAAGATAGAAATAGTTTCATACAACTTGTAATTAACCAGATCATGAATAAATTTATTGATAACAATTATTACCAATCAGTAAGTTCATTATCATTCATTTCTACAAAAAAAAAGTGACATGACCTTTTATAATAGAACCCGTTTCCTAGAAATAGTACTTATCTACCTTTGACTTTTCATCACAAGTCCTGGACAAATGGATGAATACATCATTATCATATCTTGACAAACAATGTTTGAATGAGCATGTGGCGTCTTTGTTCACCTTGCTGCTTTAAATGGTTTCCAGGTGATCTGGGAGGTGCTCAATTTGAATGAATCTATTGTGCCAGGTGTTACATCATGAGTTCAGCTATAAATTACACATTTTTTTAAATAGTTCAAGTCCCCTTTTTATTTGATTAAAAATAGAACTGCCACTGTCTTGGGTTAATTTACCCCTGCATTCCACATGGTCTTAATTCTCCATCATAAGGTCTGTTTACATATGAAATTTTAAGTTGACACCTCCGATAGTTTTTTGATTTTGCTGAAAGTTGAAATATTATAAAAAGGTGATAACTTAAAAGTATGTATTATAGTTATGGTTCCCACGCATTTCTCCTAAATGAGATTTATTATGCTCCCCGAAAAATTTCGGGGTAGCATTTAGTCGTCGGGTTGTCCGTCCGTCCGTCAGTCTGTCCGAGCAGACGAGAGCTACATTATGAGGTTTAGGTTTATGTACAGGCACTCTGTATGGGGTTCATTCCGTAGAGACATGTATTATGTGGTTAAAAATGCTCTTATGGGGTTAAAAAATTTGCTCTTGTGGGGTTAAGAGATCAAAGGAATAACCCCACAAACACGTCTGCTTAGTACGTCCGTTCGTACGTCCCGAATTCGTGTCCGGCCCATAACTTTGTTATTTGAAGTCGGATTTTAAAATTATTTCACAGAAATGATCACCATATTGAGACGACGTGTCGCGCGCAACATTTGGGTCGCTACCTTGAAGGTCAAGGTCACAGCATGACCTTGCAGCAAAATCGTGTCCGGTCCATAACTTCATTATTTGAAGTCGGATTTTAAAAATATTTCACAGAAATGATCACCATATTGAGACGACGTGTCGCGCGCAACATTTGGGTCGCTACCTTGAAGGTCAAGGTCACAGCATGACCTTGCAGCAAAATCGTGTCCGGTCCATAACTTTGTTATTTGAAGTCGGATTTAAAAAATATTCCACAGAAATGATCACCATATTGAGACATTGTGTCGCGGGCAACATGTGGGTCGCTTCCTTGAAGGTCAAGGTCACAGTATGACCTTGCAGCAAAATCGTGTCCGGCCCATAACTTCGCTATTTGAAGTTGGATTTAAAAAGTATTTCACAGAAATGATCATCATATTAAGATGACGTGTCATGCACAACATTTAAGTCGCTACCTTGAAGGTCAAGGTCACAGCATGACCTTGCAGCAAAATCGTGTCCGGCCCATAACTTCCTTATTTGAAGTCAGATTTTTAAACTATTTCACAGAAATGATCACCATATTAAAATGGCGTGTCGTGCGCAACATTTGGGTCGCTACCTTGAAGGTCAAGGTCACAGCATGACCTTGCAGCAAAATTGTGTCCGGCACATAATTTCATTATTTGAAGTCGGATTTTACAACTATTTCACAGAAATGATCACCACAATGAGACATTGTGTCGCGCGTAACATTTGGGTCGCTACCTTGAAGGTCAAGGTCACGGTATGACCTTGCAGCAAAATCGTGTCCGGCCCATAACTTTGTTACTGGAAGTCGGATTTAACAACTATTTCACAGAGATGATCACCATATTGAATCGACGTGTCACATGCAACATTTTGGTCACTACCTTGAAGGTCAAGGTCACAGCATGACCTTGCAGCAAAATAATGTCAGGCGCATAACTTCGTTATTTGAAGTCGGATTTTACAAGTATTTCACAAAAATGATCACCATATTGAGACAAATGCGTCGAGCACAATATTTGGGTTGTTTTTACACTTTGAACTTTGTCTGTGACATAACTCTGACACAACAAGAGGTATACCTTCCTGTGTCCAAAACCTATTCGGGGAGGATCACCCGGTTCAACCGGCTCTTGTTTATCTTATCTGTGTAGCTTTTAAAGCTGATCTTTTTGTCTGGATTACGTCTCAGCAACATGCTACTAGAAATTTTTTAGCAGCAAGCAACCACTAACTGGAATTCATCACAACTTTAAAGGAAATTTCATTTCACAAACCAAATATCAGAATGTTCAATTTTTTTTTTGACTTTTTCTATTTTGTACACATTCTGAATGGACCACTCATAATGTATACTTTACACAAATTCTGTCTATTCTAATTTGTAACTATCCATATTTTACAATGGTATTCTTGTTTTCTTATGCAAGTCTTATATGAAGTCAGAATGAAATTTCATCAAAAGTCAAAATTTAAACAAATTTTGTGAAACACACCTAATATCTAGCTCAGGGCCTTATGGTTTTTGAGACTGATATTTAGAAATTATTCCAGTTAGAGTTTACATAATTTTAAGTGGCCATATGGGTGGTCCCAAAGATTATAATATAAACAGCTTTGATATTTAAGGTCAATTAGGCAATGTACATGCCAAATATCTGAACTCGAGCCCTTACATATTCTGAGTCCCGACGAGATTTTATGGATTTTTCCTATCCATGTTTTTAAAGAAACAACAAATGACTCTTAGAATGGGGCCAATTTAGTCCAAAGGGTTATATTTTGAAGAGCGTTGGTAAAAGGTCAACTAGATGGCCATAACTAAGCCTTATGACTTGCACCTTTTCTCCTAAACTGTTCTTTATTATTCACTAAAACTCATTTAAGTTCAGAAGTGCTGTTACAGCTCACTGACAAACTTTATCAGATATATGAATGCGAAAAACAGAAGATAGAGAATAAAAAAAAACACAATACCATTCAGTTTTATTTCAGAGAGTTATAAAAAAATGCAATAAATAAATGAATGAAAATCATTACTTGTTTTCAAACAGAAAGTTGTGCAGTTATTTTGTTCACTACACAAATAATTACATGATCCACAATAATTATAGCCTAACATGTAGAACATTATTTAACAAAGTCCTATGCATATTGCACATTTATAAAAAATGTTGTTTATGGTGTTGAAAAGAATTAAAGACTGACATATAAACGTCTCACTAAAGGTTACAGTCATTAAAATATTGAATTTATTAAAAAACTTTATAAAGCAAAACATTCATTAATCTTCCAAACTTTCATTCTCTAATAAAAGTAGCATCAAAGTTGACAAAATAATAAACTCAAGAAGTAGATTATACAATGGCTACAATTTCGTCAAATGGTCAATATTAAATCCATATTCATTTATAATAACTAAACAACATCTTATTCAAATACATGGATAAATTCCATTAATAATGTCCAGAAATACTGCCAAGGTTTATCATGATAGTTTGATATACTGTTTTAACTCCCTCCTATAAAATGAGGCTGAACATATATTTTCTTTTGGTCTGTTGTTTTTATTATTTCCCCAATCCTACAAATGATTTTTATGAAAAAAGATAAAATAATGTTTTATTGTACTTCATTTACCAAGAAAAACAACATCATTCAAACGTTTGAACATTTACTTCTTTGAAGGGACACTTAAATGGTCAGTCATCAGGAATCAAAATTAATTGCACTTGTAAACTTTACAACATTCTACATTTAAGAAATCCAAAACCAGTCTTGTGCAAATCTTAAGTCTCCAAATCAAATTTATTCATACCAAAACAGAACTATAACATAATTCATATAATCTTTTTCTAAAGATAGTTAAACACAAAGAGCTGTTTAAAAGCAATGGAGATTCCCTGTTGCTGTAGCCATTCAGAACAATGTCATGTGAAAGACGTCTGGTCCTAAAGGTGAAGGTCACATTACTGATCACTTGTCAAGTCGACATAATGGATTATCATATACCATTTGTAGATTTACTTTAGGACCAATCAATTCTCGAATATTGTCTATCCCATACTTTATCATTGTAGGTCTGAAAAAAAGAAATAAATAGTTAAACATGTTATATCAAATATGTGAAATAATGTTTTCCTTTCTAAATAGAAGTTTGTATGATGCTACTTTTTAACAGTCCAGGTATTTCGTTCACATAATGCAGGGCAACAACACAAGTGTTCCAGTATATTTTGTTTCTCCATAACTTTCATCTTGAAATATCTTTTGTCAAAGCCAGGTCTCAAACTCACAAATCTGGCATATGTGGATTAAATGCTTTACCCATCCAGTTGATGAGTGCCCATACTGAAGGCAAGTTAAAGTGAACTAAACCATCAGTGTCAAACCCACCAAAAGAAGTCCAAGCCATCCGTAATAAGTTACAACACTCAACGCTAGCCTTGTTAATATCAAATTTAATTTAGGAAGAAACCATAATTGAAAAGCTTTTCTTTTTAAATTCAAATTAAGAAAAAGGAGAAATATATTATAACAATAGAGCTTACCTTTCTAATGATAATCCCCATGCAATGGCATTAACACCTTCGGGTAATCCCATAGGCAGCAACATTTCAGGACGAAATATACCTGAATTTCCTATCTCTACCCATTTCTTTAAACCTGAAATATTAAAAAAATTACATCATATAATTTATGTATACTAGTATAAAAATTATCCTTAAAAAGCAGGTTTTTTTGGAAGAAAGGAAGTAGATCTTATCTGACTGTATTTCTGTACATATAACTTTTTCCCATTTGATCATATAATGTTTATAAGAAAATTTTGTTTTCCTTTCTCTACCCATTTCTTTAAACCTGTAAAGTAATTAATTACATTTTATTATTTACTAGTATAAAATTTATCCTTAAAAAGCAGGCTTTTTAAAAAGTAAGGGACCCTACAATGAAGTAGATCTTATCTGACTATATCTACAAGAACATAGATCTTTTTCCTGTTTGATCACAAAACAGTTCACAAGAAAAATTTGTATGAAATAATTACCTTCATGATAACTGAACACTTCCATGCTAGGTTCTGTGTAAGGGTTGTATGCTGGCTTGAAGCGAAGCTTTTTGATACCTGCAAATTCAATCATCCAATTTAACAAAATCATGGGCATTAATTCAAATACAGATAAGTACAACGTTAAGTTAGCTAGCTTGATAGCTTTCTCACAAGAAACAATTCTATACTTTGATGGTAAGGAACAAGCGGTTTGAAGCCAGAAACCTGAAACACCCAGTCAAAAGTCTCATAAAAAATCTAGTAAGTAAAAAGATAACATTTAAACATTCAATGAAAATTGAAAAGAGAAATTTACAATACTAAAATAGGAAATCCTTATTAATTATCTGACAAAAAACTCTAAAAATCTTTAATGAACCTTACTCTCATTAAAATCTAAATCCATGCCAGATGATAAGATTCTTAATAAAGGACTTTCAAGCTATATTCCTTAAAAAGACTTCGGAGTCTCTATACACTTGACAAGGCATAACTTTAAAGTTTGTGCATCTGACTGATCATTTGGTAAGAAATTGAGAATATTTAATCAGACTGTATTCTGTACTGAATTTATTGAATGAATTGAATAAATTCAATACAGAATCTATAGAAATTAAATATTTACCACATACCCTTAAAACACAAATTTATCTGCATGACACTGCTACTATAAACAAAATGTGACACAAGCAGATTAGGCCTATATGCATATTATGTGTAAGTTTTTCGTTTTTAGGGGTCAGAAAAGCATCATAGGTATGTCCTTATTTCTTCTTATACATGTCACCTATTTAAATACTTACCTAATTTCCTGAAGAATTCATTGATAGTTCCGATGAGATCACCAAGTGTAAGACCATAATCTGCAGCGACTCCCTCTATCTGATGGAACTCAGCAAGATGTGTAGCATCCAGATTCTCATTACGGAACACTCGGTCTATAGAGAAATACTTCACTGGTTTGAACTCAGGCTAAAAATATAATATAGTATAACTGTACAAACAAAGAAAATCATTTTAAATCAACAAGTTTCACAATTTAGCTGCAAAATATGTATAAAACTTAACTAGTATGATGTATGACATATTTTGATATGTGAAATCTTGCACAATTGATTTTCTTTTAACACTTGGTTTACTTCAAAAACATTTATCCTTTTCTATTAATACACAACTTTATATTACTTAAAAAATTCAATCCAAAAGCTGGAAACTCCTAAAAGTTTTAAATGAATGTTTAGGGTATTAAATATTTCACAGTTTTGTTATGGAGACTACATTAGTACCTGGAATGTATTTTGTTAACCAACTAGTTGACTTATATAGCTAAACGAACATTAATTCAAGTTCTTATGAGTCAAATAATACATATCTTGTCGCCAAGATTACTTCTTACTTTCAAAATTTTCAGGAATAATGCTTCTTAAATAATAACTATGATTATTATAGACAGATTTTAAGAGACTAAGTATACCTGTTGTGCTACTTTATAGAGCATTCTTGATGTAACAGCTGTTGTATGGGTTCTTAAAATATTCTTCTTTGCTTCATCTATTGACCAGTCATACTTATATCTACAAAATTATATACATTCTTATTATATATTAAAATACATGTAGCTTTGCTTCTACAATTTCATTTGTACAGAAGGATTAGTACAATAGGTAGGGACAAGTGTGTCAGTCAAACTGATACTGTTTAGACTAGTTCATACCGCAATTTTTCTGAAAGTTAAAAAATTAAGTAAATGTATTTAAGGTATTGAGGTATTTGCGTATTAAGGTAATACATTGTACTGCTAAAACAGTTACGGTATACAAGCTTAAGGTAACATTGAACTTCTCCCATATGACAGGTATTTAAACTTTCAGTGGTAATGTTTTGATGTCTTAATAAACAAACCCCTGTGAGCCATATCCTCCCTCTGAATGTACCTTCTTCACTCTCTCCAGATAATCCATAGGGAAACTATGTGCTGTGGCAGGATCTGTAAGCATTATATCATTTCTATAGTAAGAATTATATGAGCTGTGCCATGACAAAACCAACGTGATGTGTTTGCGACCAGCATGGATCCAGACCAGCCTGCGCATCCGCACAGTCTGATCTGGATCCATACTGTACGCTTACAAACCCTATTACAAGAAGAGAAACTGATAGCTAACAGCATGGATCCTGATCAGACTGCGCGGATGCGCAGGCTGGTCTGGATCCATGCTGGTCGCAAACGCACTATGTTGGTTTTAGCGGCTCAATTATTATTATTATTTGTTTAATCCTCTTCATATTGCATTCAAAATTATAGCTTCATGTAATTAAACAAATAAATTACACCTTAAATTGTCAAAATTGAAAATCTGCAAACATGAGTAAGATTACATACATTTGTATATAGCTGACATACAATATTATATCATGATTATTTTAGTTTTTCTAAATATTTTAATTTACTAAACAATCATTGAAAAATCTGTTCTATCAAATTATATGACAACAAAGTTTTTTCCCACATATTTAAAGGGAATACAGGTAGATTACAGTATATACATTATATTATTCTTTATATTAACTCTCCTCTTTAACCAATATCTACCTGATATAAAGAAAGTGTCATGTGCGTCTCTTGCAGGATGTTGTTGTGGCTGGAAAAGTGTGTCAAAGTTCCAGAAACTGCTCTCTATGAAATTATTTGTGGGCATTTCTGTGAATCTAAATAAGGGGAAAAATACAAATCATTATGTTAACTATATATACTCTATCTTTTAATTTTTAGCCCTAGAGACCCCTAAAAGGGGCCAATCAAAATAATATGAGCAAACTTGATAAAACACCACCTAAGAATGCTACAGACAAAGTTTGGTGATCATCCATCAATTAGTTCTGTAGAAGAAGATGTTTAAAGGTTTTTCTATTTCTAGCCCTAGAGACGCCTAAAAGGGACCAATCAAATTTTTATGAGCAAACTTGATAAAAGACTACCCAAGAATGCTACAGACAAAGTTTGGTGATCACCCATCAATTAGTTCTGTAGAAGAAGATGTTCAAAGGTTTTTCTATTTTTAGCTCTGCTGACCCCTAAAAGGGGCCAATTGGAATGACATGAGCAAATTCAAGTGTGACTGCCACAAGGATGCTACAGACCAAATTTGAAGTAAATCTGCTTAGTAGTTTCAGAGAAGAAGACGATTGTTGACGCATGACGAACGATGGACGCCGGAGCATCCCCCTTTGATACTAATAGCTCACCCTGAGCCTTTGGCTCTGGTGAGCTAAAAAATATATATACAATTCACACAGTTGAGCTAATACATGATCAGTTAAGTAGCAGTATATACTTATTTAATTAGTGTATTTGACTGCTCTGTACAATACATAGATACATGTGTATATCCCTATACTGTACAGAACAATAGTTTTGTATTTAACCATTTTTTCCTGACCAATATAACCTTACTTTTTTTTAATATCTCATTGTACAAGTACAATATGGATGGAGCGTCTTATTTAGTCTGTTTATCTAATTTTTTTTAATATTCCATGACGCAGACTTTGTTAAAAATTGTAAGTTTAAGACAGTACCATACAAATATGGAAAATACAAGTGTACAAATACTGGAAATTATCTACTTGTTACAATATTTATCTCAACTTTATTATGTAGAAAGCTTTCAGCTTATCTGAACAACTTTAGAGTCTGCTTCTTGGATCTAACCAGTACTGGTGTCACATTAAGAAACATGGTCAGGACTCCAGTTGTGCTTGAAGCCATGATCCCTTGATTGAAAGGCAGACATATAAATAATCATTTGGATACTGCTCACTTTTAAAGTATATATGGAAAATGGTTATATGGGTAGATAAATAGAAACATTAGAATAACATAATGATAGATGAGAGATTAAAGTTTACCCCATTTCCAAAAAGATCTGTCTATATTCAGCTCGTACTTTTAGCAGTGGGTGAAGATGTCCACAATCAGGCATAACTCCTAACGCATCAAAATTATATTCCTTGAAAGTTTTTTCTTTCCAAGTTCCCCTTGAAATGATAAAAAAAAAATTACTGTATTATAACATTTAAAATATAATATATCTTTGGAAGATAATAATGAATAAGATATAGAGGATATTTGTTTAGTTCAGTGTAAGATCTGAATATATTTCACCGAGTGAGCACCAAAAAGGTATATTTCACGAGTGGCGCATGCAGAGATGAAATATATTTCGATCATACACTAAACTAAACAAATTTTCTCTTTATTATATGCAAAAAAATGTTTTAAAAGACATTTTAACCTAATACTAAATGGAAACGGCCAAATGATAATAAAACGTGACGTCATTTATGATGTGACATCATTTATGACATCACATCATTAAGTTGGTTTCCAGTACCCTGGTCGCTGGTATTTCACTGATACAACGTAACAGGCTTAAATTCAAAACAGTGAAAATTATCAAATTGATAATTTCACTGTTTCAAATAGTGAATTATCAGATTTTATTTCACTGATATTTTCTATAATGCAATGAAAAGCATGTAATAAATACACGTAGTTACTTTAAATTTGCCTACTTGCATCTACATAAAAATACTTCAGGTACATAGAAACTGATAAACATTTATCATTAACTTTTAAGCAAGAAAGAAAATCAGTATTCAATAGGTATTCACTCACTTTGAAATCATCTCTGGGGTTAGATCTACCTCTTGTTTAGCTATAGATAATGTGAAGTTGGCACCTTTAGATAACAGATAACTTGTCAATTTCCTGCAAAATACAAACACAAGTTAGTTCCCTTGATAACATTATATGAATGTGTTAACATAAAACATTAGCTATTCTAACTAAATCACATCAATCCAAACTTTGACATAATGGTTCTTTTTCATTCATTTAGAATTGATTGGCATTTTTTGAAATGTGAAATGTGGAAACTTTAAACAAATTTAATCTCAACAAATGCAAAATTGTGGATTTTTAATTATTTCTGACAATATTTTGGAATACTATCTACTATTAAATAAAGATTGGATCCAATTACCGAATCACTCTAAAAGAGAAAAAACACTGTCATAGCTATCAATCTACAATATTATAATCTGAATTATCAACCCTGTGATACTTAGGGTTGTATTTAATCCTATTTTTGCTCTAAAATTTTAATAAAACATTACAATATTTCTTTACAGTTTATTAAGATTTCATCTATAACATGTGATTGTCCTTTTCTATAAATTGCACAATTATTTAAACACTGAAGAACGATATATACAAACCTATAATCTGAATTCTAACACTCACGTGATTTTGTCTCTATAGACAAAGATTAAGAAGGAAAAAAACTGGTGTTAAACTGACAATAAACACCGGTTAGGGACTACTTGTATATATGCGCTGTTATGTTTTCACCCTCGATTGTATAGTTTACAAAGCATTTTAAAGCAACAATAAAAAGCATTTTTATTTATATTTTCAGTTCGTATAATGTTTTCTGTCCATACAATACCAAAATAACATCTCACATACCGTGGGCTTAGCGCAAAACGGTTGTAACTCACTTTTTTCCACAAAATAACATTTTTAACATTTTCAATGTATTTTGTGGTTATGCATATCCTCAGTAAGTATTTTAAATGGATTCTGAAAATTAACAAGTTAAATCAATATTTGTCAAAAGGTTGTATCTCAAATTGCTCTTAATTTTCAGCGCAAAATGGTTGTATCTCAAGTTACAACCTTTTTGCGCTGAAAATTCTGATAGTGCAAAGGAAGTAAATTAGCATTCTGTTTGTCTTATTTGAATCATCACATGAAAAGGAGGATATAAAGACAGTAGAAAAGATTTTTTGTTTTGATAATTATCTAAATAAACCTTAAATATTGTTAAAAAACCCAACTAAATTGTAATATATTATCATATATTATCTTCATGAAATATATTTAAATGTATATTACACTATTTATAGTTCCATCTCATAAATTAATACCAATAAATGAAAAAGATCCACTGCCACAATCAGCAATTGTTTGATATTAAGTAAATAAAATAACTTTCAAATATTGAAGGACAAATGTCCACATTTCTCTCCCTCCGCCCCCCCCCCCCCCCACCTACCCCAATAACACATACAGTTTATAAAATGACAAGGTAGACAGATTTAGGACCTTATGGATCGAAAATTAGCGCCACACTTATTTTTAAAGGGCAGACAAACGTTTCCATATTTTGAAAAATAATGCAAGTACATGTAGATCTAATTCAGAATATCTTCAGTTTATTCTCATAGTAGCAAAACTGAAATTGTTGCTGGCACAAAGTCTGGTCATGGAAGGTATGTCAAGGCCACCTAGCTCAGACCCATAACGCTTCAGAAATGCTTTTATTTTTATTTCTCAAAAACTTCTAAATTTTTGTGTTCTTATCAAGAAAGTTATTCATGGCAAATTACCTGAACAATCTTTTTCATCTTTTGCAAATTTTGAAAGAAGTACAGTTACAGTGAATTAGTATTCTTTGTGGAAGTCAATACTGCCAGTGCTTTGATTACATTTTGCTACTTTTATGACAAATCATATTACATTTATCACCATTTTCTTCATGTTACAAGCATCTTACATTCTCAAAAACCATATTATTATTGTGAATGGCTTAGAAAACTACTATAGTATATTATAAAAGTATAATTAAAGATAAGAGAACGGGAGGGAATATGGGACCAAATTGAAGGGAGGGAGGTGGGGGTGTAATCTCCAACTATACAGACTAAAGACAAACTTTGAAATACAATGAGGATAAACTAAAAAGGGAATGGACAAAGTGGCAGGAACCAAGACCATTGTTAAAATCCCCAAACAAACCATTGAAGCAAATGACATACTTAAAAAGGAACCATAGAATGACACTGCCTTGAAACAAGGAAATGGCAAAAACATAGCGTAAGAGTTTATAATATGAAGCCTTTTAAAAGCTTCTTTCCACATACAATGTAGAATTTGCCTAAAAGAATCCATATTAAACTCTATATCACAAATTCAGGGTAAGACCAAATTTGAAGAGGACCATGTTTAAATATTATAAACATTCAGTTTTAATTCCATAATTAGTTTGTTATGACAATCTATGAAGTCTTTAACCCTTGACATGTTGGAACAGAAAATGATCAGTTCTTGCCACAAGTATAGATCCAGTTGAGTTAGGCCAGCCTGAACACCTGTCAGTTCAGGTTTTGTACTGTGGACAGCTCATTTTAAGTACCTGTATATTGATTGATTAATTTGATTGACTTTTCCAAATACAAAGCAGGGCAAATCCATTACAGACATTCAGCAGTTTATTTTTACAAACAAATTGTTCACTAACAGACAGACAGGGGTATGTTTTTTTCCAACAATATTGACCATGCACTCTTCATTTGACCCTATAGCCAGTAAATTTGGTAAACTTTTGATCTACTTTTAAATCTTTATGAATGTTTATAATACTGCACATTTTTAACGTTGCTTTTCATTGGATAATCGTGACGTTTATATAGCTGCTGTCGATTCATAAAAACATCTTACTTTTTTCTCTAAAAAATAATGCTTGCTGTATTATAAATTTGTTATAAAGATTGTTGACAGGTTATATGGCCGTATATAAACGGCTGTTTGCAATATAACCCTCACCTAGCGGCTCGGGTTATTTTACAAACAGCCGTTTATATAGGGCCATATAACCTGTCAACAATCTTTATAACTAATAATATAACCAGTTGTTAAATGGTCTTAATTAAGAATCCCTCTTAGCGCAAGCAGTAATTAAGACATTGCTTCAAGACATTATAGACATTATAAACTCGTAGGTTCGAATCCTGGTTCAGCCACTTTATTTCTTTTAATTTTAAAATTGCCCTTCTCTAATAACTCGTGCAAATCATTTTTTTTTTGTGTATACTATCTGTGTACTTTTTTATTAACTACATCTGTAGTGTGTATGCGCTAAACCATATACGTTTGCATAATGTCACCAAGAAACCATTGAAAAATATGCGTTCTAGAGAAAAACTTGCGATTGTCCAACGTCCGTATGTCTGAGTACTTACGAAAACATCTTGATAAAACAAAAGGAAACACCACACTACTTAAAAGTTATCCTAAAAGTAGATATATTAAAACAATTTCAAATTAATTCAATTCTTGCAATAATTAAGTAAAAAAACAAAAACACAAGAAGTGTGACTTCATAACGCAGTGTTGGTTAGGAATCAAACCAGAGACCTTCAGATCAGTAGCCCGGCATCTATACAAATATACCTCACCTTACTGACATGTGAAGATAACAAATATATCAATATATTCTTTTGGTACAAGTGTTTATTCAATGACCTTTATGAAAGTTAATGAAGATCAAGGACAATATTGTTGGACAATATTACCAACCAAAATATGCCAAAAAGTAAAAGAAAATTTTTTTGTACAACTTCTGCAAATTTAATGTGAACTGGTTAGTGGGCTTAGGTAATTTAAATGTATTTTAAGATTTTATGAACTTCTTAGAAGGACAAAGTACATGTAATTGATATTATAACTGAAATTGCAAGGTATAACAAGTAGAAATTGATTTATCAGCACCCATCAATTTTAAGCTGTGGTCTCACTTACTCCTGGCAGAGCCCAGGACCAACCCGGTAAGTTACCGGGATATTCCGGGACAATCCTTAGTGAAATTATTGTTGCGGTCACACTAACCCCGGCAGCACTACCGTAATTCCCAACTAACCAACCAGTATGCGCTCCAGACCATCCAGGCAGAGCCCAGGTAAAGCTACAGTTCATGCCGGTGCTTCCCGGTCGATCCAGGCAGACCCCCCGGTAGATTGAAAACGTGCGAAAATGATAACATTGATACATAATTTTTATTTAAGTAATATAATATCTTTTGTTCCAGAACAGTAATTCATGATGATTTTCTGAAAAATCCTTATGCAATACTGGATAGAAGGGAAATGGGAAGGGTTTTAATACAAACAAGTGCAATCATTGCAAATTGTCGCGATTCATTTGAAATGAACTGGGCTTTGCCGGGGCTGAGATCTACCTGGATCAACCGTAGCTCCATCGCCGTCCTCCAGGGCTCTGCCGGCATTTACCGGGGCTCTGCCAGTATTCACCGGGCTCTACCGTAGCTCTACTGGCTATATCATGCCCTGGATCATCCCCGGTTTGTGCCAGCAGAGCTACGGTGCTTCCCCGGTGTAACCCTGGTCGTTTCGGCAGAGCTTAGGATGAAGCCGGCAATGCTATACTTCCCGGATCATCCCGGACCACCCCGGTGATATTAAATATCTTATTCCATCCAGGGTCGAATACCGGATGTTCCCGGATAATCCCAAACGTTGCCAGTAGAGTTACGGTTGTTCCCCAGGTAGAGCCAGCGTAATTATCCTTTAAAACATTTTGAAATCTAAAAGATTTTGAATGATTTTGCTAAAATTGAAGTCCATTATAATTTTATAATATCAATTGGGGTAAGGATTAAATGCCCTGCAGCTGAAAGGGTGGCTAAACCTTGCATTTTATTTTGAAATACATGTACATGTGTCTAAGATTTATACCATTCTATAGAATAGCATTTATAATTAACCATCAAAAATAATTTTAGCTTATCCCTTAATATATTTTTAAATAAAGTGGTATAGGCTATATTATTCTCTATTGAGGACATTCATTCTCTTCAAACTTATCACTGATTATTCTTACTTTCATTATTTTCATCATTCAAAACATGACTTGCACTTATTTTATAATCTTATTTTATAATGGCTACATATATTTTATGTGATTTAGAAGTAATGTTTTATTTTATCCAATTATTAAATCCTATAAAAAAGATATGAGTTTGAGAAGAGAAGAGAATAATTAAATTTGCTCAAAATTTGTGCGGAAAACAGTTGTAACTTGAGATACTACCCTTTTGCACAAAAAAATATGTAACAAATTATCAAAATTTTATTTGTAAAACGGTTGTAACTTGAACTTATTCAAATATCTTTTTTCAAAAATAATTCTTTTTTATTATTTTGTTTCTAATCCCTTAACTAAAATGTATATATTTTCCTAAAATAAAACATTTTTATTCATTAACAAAAGTTTTAAAAAGTTTTTTCATGCTCCTGTAAAATTTGCTTAAATTGAGTTACAACCGTTTTGCGCTAAGCCCGCGATACACTAAGTTCTAACGCCACATATTAGATCCATATCAGTTAATAAATATTTTGACAAAACGGCGCCAATCCGTAAGCAGCGTAATGACGTCATCCTTAGTAAACAACTCATTCATAAACAAGCTGACGTTATTTCATGCATACAATAATGATAAATGGGGCAGTGATGTAAACACAATACGACGTAAGTTTTTATTGTTGAAAACTTGATAAAATAACGTGTTTTTCTTATCAATGCTTTTGTTTGATAATTTCGATATTTTCGCAACAGTAGGGTGCAAAAATCGAACAGCGTTATATGAAAATCGGCACCGGAAGTTATTTCCGCTTGAAAAATAACATTAGTGATTTTCCTTATTTTATCGTGTTAGAATCAAAATAACATCGACCTGAGAGGTGTATATCGGCTATTTAACACCGGTTTTGTCGTTTTGATGCGACAAAATTAACCACTCAGGCCTACGGCCTTCGTGGTCAATTCCTACGCATCAAAACTCCAAACCGGTGTTAAATATCCAATATACACCTCTCAGGCCGATGTTATTTCTTAATCAACAACACTGTGATAATAAGTAAATTGCTTGTACCCTTGTGTGGGGAGCAGTAGTCCAGTGATAGGGAACACACTTTGGGACACCGAGGTAGCAGCCAATTCAGGGACACTGCTCATTTCTTTGAGCAAGAAATTACTCTCCATTGCTTCACTTCACCCAGGTGTAAATGGGTACCTGACAGGTATGTAATTAGGTGGCATCAATTTTCCGTTATAGTGTGGGCTACCATAAGCAGAGTAATAATTCTGCTTGGAAACTGACAGATAGATTCTAGAAGTCTAATGATCAGAAGGTAAATGCTGTAAAGTGGCTGAATAAGCCATTTGCATACTATAAAATGTATTTTTTTTTCCATGTAATGGCTAAGGTTTAATCTGTTTACAACCAATTTTACTGAGCTATACAAATCCAAGGCATTGTTGAGCAAATTCCTTCCTCAATATGAGTTAAAAAAACAGTACTTAGACAGCCATGCTATAATAAATACAATCTACTTACACTTCTTGCATCAATTTTCTCTTTTTGTACTCATTTTTCTGGTTATCTGTGATACCATCCAATTTCAGATCCTGTATTCTCTTCATACAATCTTGTACTGTATCCTCTATACTCTCTACCTGTATAATATCAAATGAGCCTTTATATAACATCATAATCTAGACCAGAACTTGCTTAATCTTGTAAATGAACTTGTCCTGCTTTCATTTATGGAACTTCCCATTATCTGGGGGTTTCAAGGTGAGAATTTAAAGATAATCAAATAACAGCAGTAGAAAGTTCAGACACAGCATCAAATTAAGACCTCTATAGGTAAATAATATGACCTTATACATTACCCAAATAAAATTTTCTTCTATTTAGAAAGGGAATTAAACAAGAGCTGTCGGTAGGACAGCAATGCTCGACTATTCTTAGTGCTTGATAGTAAAAAAGCCTTGATAATGTAACATTTTCTAAGTAAAGAAAAGGGTAAACATTTTCTTTAAATCCATATTACAGATATATGCCTTGGAGAGAGTCCTATTATGCTCTAAAATAAGATTATACAATTTCAACTTGTTTCAAAGCCATATGTCAATGGACTTTGAAAATATTTGAGGTATTACAAAAACTTTAACATAAGTGGTTACGCGGACGCCGACGCTCGGATGACTACAATAGCTCTACTTATTCTTATCGAATAGTCGAGCTAAAAACTGCCTTTCTACAATTATCAAAATTTTTCAGCTTTAAGTAAATAAATTCATAACTTCTTGTTTTTCATAAAGCAAAACAAAAAAACAGAGAAAAAAAATATTAAAAATAATATTGTAGACAAGTAAGTAAAACCTTTTTAAAAACTTTTGGTCCACCTTCAGCTTTCTTATCCATCTGAACCCAGCCTGCCTGCATTGCTTTACTGAAACCTATCTTAGCATTTGGTACCACTTTCTGGAAACAAATGAAAATATAATTATAACATGCTAGTAATTTTTAGACAATTTCACTAGAAATCTGTGTCTGTAAGTCTTCTCTTAGTAAAGATACAAATTCTTTGTAGCAGACATCTAATTGTCAAACAATTAGTATTTTGATAGTCAATTGTATGAAATTATTTTTTATTTAATGGAATGGTCTCTAAATTAATAATCTAAATATATTTTCTAAAGGCACACCATAAGTTCTGCCTGAAGAATTCCACCATCTGGAATTGCATTGAATATGAGGGCTTCATGGCTGCCATTTTCTGCCACTTGTTTGCCTTCATCAGTCAACTCATAGCTTTTGTTTAACTTCTGTTCAGCATTGATTACCTGTAAATGACAGACAACAGACAATCTTGAGAGTCATTTCTAGCAAAATATATAGTTGGTTACTTTTAGAACAATGCTAAATCTTAAATAGTTAACAGTTAAGAACTAATTCACATTTAAGATTTACATCTTTCCTCGGCTTCTATAAAAAAAGTGAACTATAATTGTGATCTATTCAACATGAGTGATGGTTTATTTTGGATACATTTTGTTCAAAAGGAATAGACAACTTCATGATAATATCAGACAAAAATTATGATACAAAAATATTGAATCTGACATTAAAGCATGGTTTACCATGTCCGCCATATTCCAAAATACAGTCCACCCTGTCTCAATCTAAAGTCAGCCTTGGTATGGTCCGCCCTGTCACACGGCCTGACGTCCCTAAATCGGGTCGGTCTTTTTACCCCAAGACATCCCAAGACACCCCAAAACTACGATACATATTTTTAGTCCCAGGACTACCCCAAGACACCCCAAGAAACTTATATATTGGGAAAGTTTTATTATGTATATGAAGACTGATTAATAATAACTTTTTATTTACTTGTCATCTTGTTACTGTCCAATACATCAAATATTGTTTTCATGTTTGAACTTTTTCATCAAGAAAATATTTATTGATATGCTCTTTAATATACAAAATATTTTGATTAAAATAAACTTTACTGAAACAATAAGACTATGTTTATGATTCACCTTGATCTAATGAAATATGGGGCAGATGAAATAAAAAAACATCAATTTTATGAAACAGAATATGATCGATTTAATAATTAGACATAGTCACATAAAAAATGTGTCACTCATAAAATGACTTTGTTGCAGAATTAAACTTGCACTACACCAAAATCCCGCAACCTTGGCATTATTTCATTGTTGTAAACTATTTTGCACAAAAAAGAATATATTTATATGATCATGATCTAAATACAGGGAAATAAAAAATTAAATAAAGGGAGTTAATTTAATGTGTACATGTGAAATCACATAGTTATCTTTGGTTCTTCGGTAAACAATGTAAAATTAAGACCGTATATATATGTCAGTAAAAATGTCTTTGGGTGGTCTTGGGGTGTCTTTGCGTAGTCTTGGGGTGTCTTGGGGTAAATAGACCATCCGCCCTAAATCCCTTACTCGCCCAATAATTAAGGACCATATGTTTATCGTATGTTATAAAATTGATATATCTACTTTTAATCATCAATTAAGCACAGGCTTTTAAAGAATATTATTTAAGTGCTCCAATATCAACGCACACTAAAATTATTACTTAAGTCAGAGTTTGACAGTTCATTCACAATTTCTGATGCAATGCACCATCAATAAACAAAAGAGATTAATATTTAAATAAGGTTCATCTTACATCTCCCGAAGCTTGAAGACTTTTGACAACACCAACTATCTTTTGATGATCAACACATAATATTTTTGCAAGATCTTGAGTGTCAATCGGCTCATTTTCACTTAAATATTTCAGCACGTTGGCAGCTAGTTCATCCGCCATCTTGTCCAAAATGTGTCACGTGGTTTATAATGACCCGGAAGTACACACCTCCAGAAAGAAAGAAGGTCAAGGTCGAGTTTGTTATGCAAAAATAATAAAGTTTCTTAAATCATTCTACAGACTTTTCGATCAATTTACAATGATGGCACTTCGGCATTTATTTAAACACTTAACAGCTGATAAACTGGTATCAGTGTCAGCGGTATGTCCACGTCTGGCTTCAAATTCAGCAGGTAGGTCACTAGATCTATATAAAATTTCTTCATAGATGCCTTACTGGTCTAAAAAATCTGATAATAGAGCATAAATTAGTAAATTTTATATAATGATTTCATTCTAGATTTATTATTTATATTTCAATATGGGCCAAAAAAGGCTTACATTCTGGGTTGATTTACCACCAGGATAAATTTAAGTAAATTAAAATTTAATTTATAATAATTTTCACTAGGAAAGACCTTTAGGGCAATCTTCTGGATTTAATAGGGGATCACCTAAAACCCGTGACAGTATCTTTTTCTGTAATAACATCAATCCGTGGCATTCACCTTATATCCGTGTCACACTTAAGTATCCCCTGCCAATGGAATTGGGAGGGGAATATTGTTTTGGTGTTGTCTGTCCGTCTGAATTTCGTTTCCACGCTATTTCTCTGCAACTATTATGAACTACCGGCTGGAATTCAACAAAACTTTATGTAACCCTCAATACCAATAGGAGATGTGCATATCGTCATCTTGTATGGGTCAGACCCTTTAACACATAGTTATGGCTCTTGATTAGTTATGCAGTATGCATCATAAAGTCCAAATTTTGTTCCCGTTGGATTTCTCTGCAACTTAACTGACTGGAATTCAACAAAACTTTATAGGAAACATCAATACCAAGAGGAGATGGGCATATTGTTGCCTTGTTTGGGTCAGATCCTTCAACACAGAGTTATGGCCTTGATTAGTTATGCAACTTATGCATACATAGTCAAAATTTAGTTTCTGCAATATTTCTTTGCAACTGCTGGCTGGAATTCAACAAAACTTTATGGGAAACATCAGTACCAAGAGGAGATGCGCATATCATTGCCTTGTTTGGGTCAGATCCTACAACACAGAGTTATGGCCCTTGATTAGTTATGCAATATGCTTATAGATATTATATTGTTTTTCGTGATATTTCTCTGCAGCTGCTGGATGGATTTCAAGAAAACTTTGTGGAACCAAGTATACAAATAGGAGATGCGTATATCTTCACCTTGTTTGGGTCAGACCCTTCAAGACAGAGTTATAGCCCTTGATTAGTTATACAGCATGCATTTAGAGCAATAATCATTTCTGTGCTATTTCTCTGCAATGAATTCAATGAAACTTTATGGAAACCATCAATATCTGGATGAGATGTGCATATCGTTGCCTTGTTTTTACTGTTTATGCCATGATAGATATATAAATAAAGCCTCATGTCTCCAGTTGTTGTGTTAGTAATAACCAGTACTCGGCAGGGGATATAAATTCAACGAATTTGCTTGTTTATCGTGATATGTTATGCAAGACGCAAAATCCTGTGATGTGACGCACTATAAATCTATTCATCTGTCATGTCTGATAGCTTAAACCTGTGATGATGTCAATAAACTTCAAACATGTTTGATAATTTACTGATCTTTCCTTTATTGTCCCCCGCCTTTTCTTAGAGATAGAAATAGGCTCCGTCTGTCCATCCGTTCAAGGAATAGATACTTAGGTGGCTATGGGAACAAAAGGTAACAGTAAATATCCTTTGATGCTTTTCATTCAGTAAGCTCTTATGTGGCTGCTTTCTCTTATCTGGCTAAAAGAACAATAGAGAGAACAAAAGAGTTGCTACTTAAACACATAACTTTGAGCACATCCTTCTGTCCGTCCGAGTCTGTCCGTCTGTCACATTTTCATGTCCAGTCCATAATTTATATAACTGTACCTTGTCATGATCATATTAAGTGTTCCAAGTTAAACATTGATATTTTTCATAGTTTTGAAACTTAATGAGCAGTTTTGACATAAAGCCTTAGTTAAAAGAGATAGAAGTCCAGATATATGTACCTTTCTGAATAATGATCAGTGTCTTACAACTGCCTTTTGTCATGAATACAATGATAGCAAGTATCCATAGTTTCAATACAAGTCATTTTTAACTCGACTGTTTTTCAAAGATAAAAAATAGAGGTATTGTTATAGTCATGGCGCTGTTGCCATCCGCAAACTTTAACCTTCATCATAGCTTTTTAAATTTTTGGTGTATTGTCTTCATACTTGGCCACAACAACCCTAGGGACAAGACCATCAAGTAGACCTCCATTTATAAATGACTGACCTTCAAGGTCAAATGACTAAATTTTGCTTGATTTTGTTCACCGGCACATTCTGCTTCGATGCACAAAATGGCCACCAGAGCTAAAAATAGAAAAATCTTGTCTGGCCTTCACAGGTCAAACTACTGGTGGGATTTCAACCAAACTTTACAAGAGTGATCAGTACCATCCCTAGTTGTACACTTTACCAGCACATTCCGCTTCACTGCACAAAATGGCCGCCAGAGCTAAAAATAGGAAGATCTTGTCACAGTTCAAACTACTGGTGGGATTGCAACCAAACTGTACAGGAGTGATGAGTACCATCCCTAGTTGTGCACATCACCAGCACATTCCGCTCCGCTGCACCAAATGTCCGCCAGAGTTAAAAAAAAAAAAAAAATCTTGTCAGGCCTTCACAGGTCAAACTATTGTTGGGATTTCAACCAAACTTTACAGGAGTGATCGGTACCCTCCCTTGTTGTGCATATTGCTTGCATGTTTTGCTTCCCTGCACATACTGGCCTCCAGAGCTACATGTATAAATAGAAAAAAAAATCTTGTATGGCTTTACTGGTGGGATTTCATTGAAACTGCTCAAGAGTGATTATTACCATCCGTAGTTGTGCATATCGCCGGCATGTTTGCATTGCTGCACAAAATGGCAGTCTATAAATAGAAAAGATCTTGTTGTGCTTTCACAAGTCAAGCTAATGGTGGGATTTCATGAAACTTCATATGGGTGACCATATATAGTTTTGGTAGGAGTGACCATACATAGTTTTGGGAGACATATGTTTTTGTGACATAAACCCTTCTAGTTTAAACTGCAAATTTGATCTAATCCATAAATCTATAATGAATGGATTATTTTCATTTATTTCAGCAACTAAAGCTGATGCAAAACAGAAAGTTGAATCAGCACAGTTTGACTGGAGAGATGCTTTAAATCTTGAAAGTCAACTGACAGATGAAGAGAAGATGGTGAGAGATCAGTTCAAACAATATTGTGATGATAAACTCATGCCCAGAATTCTTATGGCCAACAGGCATGAAGGTATTCCCTACATTTTACATGTAATACTATTTGCTTATGTTTGTTTGTTTGTTTGATTTGGTTTTACGTCACACAGACACAGTATAGGTCATATAGCGACGTTCCAGCTTTACTGGTGGAGGATGACCTCAGGTGCCCTTCCGTGCATTATTTCAGGCACGAACAGACATTTCTTAAGCTAGCTGGATAGCTTCCTCACATGAAAGAATCCAAAGTCCATGTAGGGATTCGAACCCACCGCGGTGATGGGCAAGAAGTCAACGACCTTAACCACTCGGCCACGGACACCCCAATTTGCTTATGAATTAATGCATAAATGTATATGTTTAATAAATTTTTTAGTCTGATGTGAATTCAAATTACAGGTTTGTGAGATTTAAGCTCTCTTAAGATTTAAGATCATAGCACTATTTTTCATGTCACTGGCTATGTGTGTTTATAGTATTTTCTTAATTAAAACTTTACCAAACTTCACAAAAATATCACTTAGTTATTTTTTTTCCAGTTCTTATAACCTAAGTTTTTTATTTGCATAAAATTTGCATTAATCTATTTTAACTGTATAAGAAATCTATTTTAAATTTAAAAAAAAACTGTCACAAAGAGATCCAAATATTTACAGATTTTATACAGAATATATTAAATGTTTGGCTCTAGAAAATCGCCTTGAATATTAAGTTTATATCAACATCATGTTATGATAATTTCATATTGTAATAAAGAAGTTATATTTCAGTTTTTCATCCTGAGATAATGAGAGAAATGGGAGAAGTTGGGGTGCTCGGACCTACAATAGAAGGTTATGGCTGTGCTGGGGTATCATCAGTAGCATATGGTCTCATTGCTCGGGAGTGTGAAAGGTTTGAATTATAATCATATTATTCAACTGATGAACAAAACTGGTTTTTACATTTTGTATGTACATGTATTTATTGTGCGATGATGAACAAGTACTGTATTATTGAATAAAATAAATGCTTTTGGTACAAATAATTGCCAATCAGAACTTGATAAATGCACTGGTGAATCTGTACTAGTTTTAGGATTGTACAAACGTAAAAATGCTGTACACAATACATGTTTTGTATAATAATTCTCACTACAAGAATGAATCATATTCATAAGTAAATGTACTATGTCAATTAACAGATAATTTATATATTTTATACAGGGTAGATAGTAGTTACAGATCATGTATGAGTGTCCAGTCATCACTTGTCATGCACCCAATTAATGCTTATGGTACAGAAGATCACAGACAGAAATACTTGCCCAAACTTGGTAAGTTTAAACACTGTTTCTTGCATGTGTATCATTATAAGCTTATACGTCCTACTAAAAAAATAAATCATTCAGAATTATTTTATTTAGATTTGAAATTAGCCTTTAAAGTCTTTTATAATTCATTTATGAGACAAAATTAATACATTGACTTTAAAATGATGCAATTTGAAACAAGAAAATAACAAGAAAGCTGTGTTCTTCAGTAATTCTTAAAATGATCAGTAATTCTAAAAATATTATTGAAGTTAAAATGTAATTGTTTTGCTTTTACAAATGAGCATGCAGTGTTCATTTTGTCATGTGGTACAAAGTGAAAGTATATAAGATATAATATTTTTAATGTTTTCAGCAACTGGGGAGTTGATTGGGTGTTTCGGTCTTACAGAACCAAACCATGGTAGTGATCCATCATCTATGGAAACAAATGCTGTATTCAATGAATCATCTAAGACTTTCACCCTGAATGGCTCCAAATCCTGGTAATTTTATGCCAACTTCTATATATAAATTAAAGGAGTCAAGTTATCATGTATGAGTATGCTTTAATATCAGTGAATATTTTCCAACATCACTTGCATTAAATTACAGGTATGTCGTGACAGCATGTTAGGGGTACATTTATTAAATTTCCTTATTATAATTTTTATCCTTTTATGTTTGAAACACTGCTTGGTAAGAAACACACTGCTTACTAATAGTGAGAAACACACTGCTTATTAAGAAACACTGCATGGTAAGAAACATTCATTTTAGTAAGAAACACTTCCAAAAAGAAACATTCTGCTAATTAAGAAAACATCTTGTTAGTGAGAAACTCTCTGCTTAGTAAGAAACACTCTGTTCAAAAATGTCATAAACATTAATGAATTATCAATTGAAATGAAAACAAATACATTAAAATGTGTAAATGTGGGGCCTTACTGGTTTGAAAGAAACACACTTAAATTAAATCTCACTTTGAAATAAGTGATATGTTGCAAAGTGAAAAATCAGGGGTTAGTAAAGAATAGTGTGCTTGGTAAGAAATATTCTGCATTGTATGAAATACTCTACTTAGTAAGAAACACTTTACAAAATGAGAAAGTTGCATCTGTGGCTAAATTGTTAAGGTTGTTTACTTCAAACCACTTGCCCTTCACTGCTTAAGGTTCGAGTCCTGCCAGAGGCTTTGGATTCTTTCATGTGATTAAGTTACCCAGCTAGCCTATGTGACATCAGTGGTTTCTACTTGAGTGACTGAAATAGTGCACAGACGGGCACCTGATATTTTCTCCACCAGAAAAGTTGGTAATGTATCATATGACCTCATCTGTGTTGGTGCAACATTAAACTAACCAACAACAAAAAAATAATAAGAATCTCATTCCTTTGTTCCTTGCTGCATTACTTGAGAAAAACCAATTTAGTGTCTCGTTGTATGTGGCTTTGTCTAATTACAAGTATAGGAACATACAACTGGAATGTTAAAGTTATTAAATGTGTTATTGAAACTCTGTCGTGTTATTGTAAAATGTAATGTACATCTCTACATTTTATACCCTTACTATATAAAGACATTTAAACCGTATTGATTATGAATGATGTTAGACAATGGTTCATAAAGTAGCATTCATAAGCATATTTTGAAGCAACTTGTTAAAGTTGTAAAATATAAGTAACATACTAAAATATAAGTAACATACAATACATGTTTTCAGCCTTCTACATACCATATAAAGTTGTAGTACTGTGAAAAATGAACATTTCCATTTCCTAGAACAGTTACATGTACTGTAGAAGTTAGCATGTCTCTTCATCTTAGTCTATTTCTTTGCAAAGCAGCTTACATTATTATAGAGAATTAAAGAGTAATTTTATCTCAGTCATGAACCTAAGGTCAATGTAATATCTTGTACTCTAAATAGTTAAGCTGAAATTAAAACCACATTAGATGGTAAACAGAAAATAGAGAGGAATATTCAATCTAACAACTGACTATAATGTTAAAAAAACAAGGTTGTAATTTCAGCTGATATAAGGTTTAAATGAACAACTAATCAGAAGGTTAAAATGCACAGGTAATAGAAATATATAAAAATTAGTAAGTTTCAATGAAGTCAGATATTAAAGTGTAAGACAGTAAGTTGACAGAAAGTAAAATATTACAGAAATATACTTCATATTATTTCTATTTTTTATACAAAATTCCCACCTTAATATGTTTAATTGTTATTGTGGTCTTTTGCTGATAATGTTTCAAAACCTAGACTGGAACTTTAATGGTCTTTTGCTGATAATGTTACAAAACCTAGACTGGTACATTAATAGTCTTATGCTGATAATGTTACAAAACCTAGACTGGTACATTAATGGTCTTTTGCTAATAATGTTACAAATTCTAGACTGGTACATTAATGGTCTTATGTTTATGATACAAAACCTAGACTGGTACATTAATAGTCTTATGCGGATAATGTTACAAAACCTAGACTGGTACATTTATAGTCTTATGCTGATTATGTTACAAAACCTAGACTGGTACATTAAAAGTCTTATGCTGATAATATTACAAAACCTAGACTGGTACATTAATTGTCTTATGCTGATAATATTACAAAACCTAGACTGGTACATTAATAGTCTTATGCTGATAATATTACAAAACCTAGACTGGTACATTAATACTAGTCTTATGCTGATAATGTTACAAAACCTAGACTGGTACATTAATGGTCTTTTGCTGATAATGTTACAAAACCTAGACTGGTACATTAATGGTCTTATGTTTATGATACAAAACCTAGACTGGTACATTAATAGTCTTATGCGGATAATGTTACAAAACCTAGACTGTTACATTAAAAGTCTTATGCTGATTATGTTACAAAACCTAGACGGGTACATTAATATTCTTATGCTGATAATGTTACAAAACCTAGACTGGTACATTAATGGTCTTATGCTGATTTGGTACATTAATGGTCTTATGCTGATTATGTTACAAAACCTAGACTGGTACATTAATGGTCTTATGCTGATAATATTACAAAACCTAGACTGGTACATTAATGGTCTTTTGCTGATAATGTTACAAAACCTAGACTGGTACATTAATGGTCTTATGTTTATGATACAAAACCTAGACTGGTACATTAATGGTCTTATGTTTATGATACAAAACCTAGACTGGTACATTAATAGTCTTATGCTGATTATGTTACAAAACCTAGACTGGTACATTAATAGTCTTATGCTGATAATATTACAAAACCTAGACTGGTACATTAATGGTCTTATGCTGATAATATTACAAAACCTAGACTGGTACATTAATGGTCTTATGTTTATGATACAAAACCTAGACTGGTACATTAATAGTCTTATGCGGATAATGTTACAAAACTTAGACTGGTACATTAATAGTCTTATGCTGATTATGTTACAAAACCTAGACTGGTAAATTAATAGTCTTATGCTGATAATATTACAAAACCTAGACTGGTACATTAATAGCCTTATGCTGATAATATTACGAAACATAGACTGGTACATTAATAGTCTTATGCTGATAATATTACAAAACCTAGACTGGTACATTAATAGTCTTATGCTGATAATATTACAAAACCTAGACTGGTACATTAAAAGTCTTATGCTGATAATGTTACAAAACCTAGACTGGTACATTAATGGTCTTTTGCTGATAATGTTACAAAACCTAGACTGGTACATTAATGGTCTTATGTTTATGTTACAAAACCTAGACTGGTACATTAATAGTCTTATGCGGATAATGTTACAAAACCTAGACTGGTACATTAATAGTCTTATGCTGATTATATTACAAAACCTAGACTGGTACATTAATGGTCTTATGTTTATGGTACAAAACCTAGACTGGTACATTAATAGTCTTATGCAGATAATGTTACAAAACCTAGACTGGTACATTAATAGTCTTATGCGGATAATGTTACAAAACCTAGACTGGTACATTAATGGTCTTATGTTTATGTTACAAAACCTAGACTGGTACATTAATAGTCTTATGCGGATAATGTTACAAAACCTAGACTGGTACATTAATAGTCTTATGCTGATTATATTACAAAACCTAGACTGGTACATTAATGGTCTTATGTTTATGGTACAAAACCTAGACTGGTACATTAATAGTCTTATGCAGATAATGTTACAAAACCTAGACTGGTACATTAATAGTCTTATGCTGATTATATTACAAAACCTAGACTGGTACATTAATGGTCTTATGTTTATGGTACAAAACCTAGACTGGTACATTAATAGTCTTATGCGGATAATATTACAAAACCTAGACTGGTACATTTATAGTCTTATGCGGATAATATTACAAAACCTAGACTGGTACATTAAAAGTCTTATGCTGATAATGTTACAAAATCTAGACTGATACATTTATTAATATGATCAGTTTGATGAAGGTATACAATAATATTTCCTTGTTTATACAGGATCACAAACTCTCCTATAGCAGATGTGTTTATTGTGTGGGCGAAAAATAAGGCAGAAAATAACAGAATACGAGGGTTTATCCTGGAGAAGGGCATGAAAGGATTATCTGGTGAGTGTACTTGATGTCTAAAACAGCTTCCAATTAAGTGGTCATACAATTATGTTGTAGGAAAATTGGTTTTATGTTGTTAATAAACTTCAAGCTTTACATTCCATTATAGAAGTACAAACAATCTTTTTTTGTAGACAACTTAAAGTCTGAACTCTTTGATCAAATGAAAATAAAATACTATCAAGGAGATTTGAGGGAAGAGTTCAGCAAAATTGGATTTTCATTGTCAAATATTACGTTATTGATTACTGTTTGAATTTTCTTCTCAAATTGATCTTAAACCTTTGACATTGATTTTATTCACATGCATTTATTTTCAAATAATTAAAAAAATTCCACTTCATAGAAATATTTAAAACGTATAAAATGCAGTAAATGTTGTAAAACGTTACCTCAACTTTCAACTTTTATATTAGCTGTTTAAGTTACAATAGCTTGGCAGTGAGATAATGTTAAAATGCATAATTATAGGCAATATATGATGAATATCTGTAATATTGTTTGTTTTAAAATTATAGCACCAAAGATTGAAGGGAAGTTTTCACTTCGAGCTAGTATTACAGGACAGATAGTAATGGAGGATGTAGAAGTGCCTGAAGAGAACATGTTACCTAATGTTAGTGGGCTAGCTGTAAGTTATATAATACTACTTTACTTCTTGTAATCCTAATTGTTGTTATATTTTTTATGCCTGGATTTTTTTTTTAATTAATTCTCATTGATTGAAGACATGTTATTTTCTGAGAGCTTGTTTAGTGTGAAAACTACCTTTTTTCACTAAATGTAGTGAAATTGGTACATATCTTTATGATATTTCTTTTTTTTGTAACTTTGTTCAAATAACTTTCTTGAATATTTATGTTTAGAAATAAGTCAAATTAGATGGAAAATGCACATGTGTTTTCATTATTGATGATTCTTGTTGAGTAAATACTTGTAGAAATATTTTTTTACTTGTATAATTATAGGGTCCTTTTGGCTGTTTGAACAATGCACGTTATGGTATAGCATGGGGAGTTCTTGGTGCCGCTGAGTTTTGTCTTGAAGCAGCTAGGCAATACACATTAGACAGGTTAGTGTATGCCTGATTTTAAAGGGGCTCCAATGGGGGCATCCATGGGCAAGTGGTTAATGTCGTTGACTTCAAACCACTTGCCCCTCACCGCTGTGGGTTCGAATCCCGACAGGGACTTTGGATTCTTTCATGTGAGGAAGCTATCCAGCTAGCTTACGGAACGTCGGTGGATCTACTCAGGTGCCGGTTCGTGCCTGAAATAATGCACGGAAGGGCACCTGAGGTCGTCCTCCACCAGTAAAGCTCGAACGTGGCCATTAGACCTATACTGTGTAGATGTGACGTAAAACCCAATGAACAAACAAACAAAGGGGCTCCAATGGGGTCATATAGCTTAAAAACATATAATTTGAAATTCTTACATAGATCAAGTCATGCACTAAAAATAGAAAAATCTACAAAGGATAATAAAGAAATATACTTAGAGTTAAATTGAAAGTCATGTTATATATGATTCTTAGCAGTGTTTCAGGGAAAACTGTTGCAAGGCTTTTCATTTTTGGGTCATTTTGTACATTCATCAAAAATGATTATTCTTGGAAAAAAAGTGTGGGAATTATCTGAAATTTTGCACATAAGTTATAAATAAAGTATTGTATGGAATGGTAGGCAAGTTTCTGAAAAATATTTTCAGTCTCTTCATGTGAAAAAAACCTTGGCTGGTATAATGGACATTGTGACGTTACATGTACAATAATGAATTGCATTTCATATACTGATCATCCCAACTTTTTGTGATTGTCTTATTTAATAACACTAAATTTGGCCATTGTCTTATTTTATAATACTAAATTTTGCAAGTGTGATTTGGCATGGTGTATATTATATTGCTTCCTATTGAAACTGGCAAAATCATTTATCAGCCTGGTCTGGTGTTTTGTTACAGGAAACAGTTTGGACGACCACTAGCTAAGAATCAGTTGATGCAGAAGAAGATGGCTGATATGTTGACAGAAATCACAATAGGGTTACAGTCATGTATACAGGCAGGCAGACTGAAGGATGATGGAAGGTTACTGTAGTAGATAATCTCTTTATAATAAATAAACTTTGCTGTAATATACTAAATATAGAAATAATGTACATTGTATTATGAAATCAGCTGGTATAAAGATGCATACAGATTTGTCATTTTCCTTCCACCCTAATGTCAGGCTGTCTGTTTGTAGACTGACACAACAGTGGATTGTGGGGCATTTATGTCCTTAGGACATATTTCAAGTTTTCTTTAATATGTTACAAATCTAATCTTTTGTAACTTCTATTGAGTAAACATAATACACTACTAGAGTGAGCAAAGCTGAATAACTCAAGATGTTATGATGTAAATTCACATGTCTAACTTTTGCATTTGATTCCATGTGTTCATTCTTTATTATGTATTGAAGCACATACATAACTGAGTTTAAAATCTTACTTTATTTTGTTATTTATTATAATTGGAGCTCACCAGAGCTTAAAGTACATGTACTCAGAGGCTTTTTATTGTTCTGCATGCATCATAAACATCTAGACTCAAGGTCAAACATCTAGACTCAAGGTCAAACATTTAGAGAATAGGTCACATATCTGAAACAATTTTGATTAAAATTGATCTTATAAATCCCATAAATTAATTGAATGAGTTATAACGTCATCTTGAAGGAAACGCCAGGTCATTTGGTCAAGTTAACAGAAAACATTGTGAGCTAGTTTCAATGATTCTTGATCAAAGTTAACGTACATATAAATAATGCATTAATTGCTTAAGAGACATTATGCCCATCTAAGTGTATAGTTTAAATTCAAAATAACTTTATTTTGCAGTTATTGTTCAGTGTTATAGTCTAGCTCATGTGTATTATCAATAACCCACATGACTCGCAGAAAATTTTAAAAGTATCATCTGTTTATGTTCAGTTGATAAAAAGAGTGGAGCAATCATTTCATTTTTTAGGCAGTTATATTTTATCCTAAACAGTTTTCATTTTCAAGTATTGGTCATTGACCATTATTATAGCCAATCTCTTTGAATATATAGCCAATTCAGCACAACTTGATAACAAAAAATAATAAATATAGAGAATAATAGGTTGGTGCCGTGGATGGAGAAAGTTTATCTGGCGAGGCGGAGGAATTTATTGGGTGAGCCGAAGGCGAACCCAATAAATTCCGGAGCAGAGCCAGATAAACTTTCTCCATCCACGGCACCAATCTATTATTCTATTTATCCTGTCACCGTTTTTTTTAAAAGAATTTTATTAGGCAAACTACCTTTAATCACACTATCGTAAATGTTTCTATATAAACAAAAAAGGACCGAAGCGTGCATTATTCTACAACAATGCACTCGCCGTTCTTATTATCTCCCTGTGTATTTTCACATTGAGGGCGCCATTTTCTTTGAAAAATGTGATAAATAAAAACAATTCTTTGTCGAATTTCGTTGTGAAAACTATCTAGAATGAAAGATAATGGTCTAACTAAGAAAATGAATTCGAACACCAATATCTTTTATTCAGTCGTTAACGCTGTACAGACGTTTAAAGTATTGTTTACGTGACGTCACAATGTAGCGCCAAACAGCACGTGCAAAACAATCAAATCAAGTACGCTATTTTAATGTCGCAAACGAGTTAAGTTTTACATTTATTTCACTTTTAATAATTTTTATTTCGCTTGAAAAATTATAGAGTGAAATAAAATAAACAAACAAAGTTTTATCAACGTTTCCAAAATTCGTTATTCTACACACAGAAGATTTAACGACAGTTTTTTTCATACCACTGGAACGGCCTGTAAATCTTGAAAAGTAGTCCGGCAAAGAGGTGCCCATTCATGCATACCACGTGATCAAGTGCCGTAGATCAGTAAAAATATACGGCACCTTGTTATCGGGCCGAAATTGATACAAGTGACAGGATAAATCACCATAAACAGTTACCATCAAGCTAGATATTCCGGTCTGTACTGGCAGCCGGTGTAAGATTCTCATATTCATCTATTATCATTTGATGATATTACAATAAGCTAGTTGAAAATTTTTTAATAATTTCAATACATTATAACACTATTGTGGCTAGCATTCCCTGATTGTATATGATAAATAAATGTTTGTATAATATGTGTATTTTAGGATAACTCCAGAGATGATCTCATTGATCAAGAGGAACTCCTGTGGTAAAGCTTTAGACATTGCACGTGTTGCACGAGATATGCTGGGAGGTAACGGAATCTGTGATGAATATCATGTTATAAGACATGTCATGAATCTCGAGGCAGTAAATACATATGAAGGTAATATTTGTTCTCTTGTAATATACTAGCATAATAGTTCATAAAAAATGAACTTTTTGAAGAAATAAATAGTCTACTACAAATTCTATAATTCCCTTTAATATACCAACATTTCGGCCTTCTTCAGGTGAAGAAGATAATAAAATATATTGTTGGGTTATAGGATTATTTCTTCATTAAACACATATATTTAAATATACATGTTGTAGTGTTGGTTTTACTTGTGTTAGTAATTAACTTGTAATTTATCTGTAAATAATCAAGTTCTCAGTGCTACACTTGTAAAGAAAGTAACAATTTGTAAAGTTCCATGATAATAGCATCACAAATATGATTTTGTCACCTTAAGTGTACAATGTAATGGTAATTTGTGAAATAAATTAAAAATGATGATAACCTCTCATTTAAACCAGAAAATCTATTGAGTTATAGATGAAACTATGCATATTTTCAGCATTTTATCATATAATAATATTGATAAAGGTTTGAAAAGCAATTTTGGTATAATGGTTTTTTGCTCACCTGTCACAAAGTGACATGGTGAGCTTTTGTGATCGCTTTTCGTCCGCCGTCCGTCCGTAAACTTTTACTTTAAACGACATCTCCTCATAAACCACTAAGCCAATTTCATCCAAACTTCACAGGAATGTTCCTTTGGTAGTCAACTTTAAAAATTGTTCAAAGAATCTTAAAAAATCTCCTTTTAAAAAACCCAAATAGCTAGAGCTTAGCTATAGACCCTTCTTAATATTACCTCATACATATTCATAGATTTCTCAGAACGAGGCTAACAGGGCAAGCTGCGGTATCTGCTCTATGTAAACATATCACTTATATATGGCCGAAAGATTTTTCTACAGTGTCAGAGATCTTGATAATGTTCTGTTTGCTACATACTTGTTGAGAACTATATTTAATATTAAAAAAAATCTCTTCTGGAGATGAATAAATCAACAAAGGGTTTAATTTACACTATATACAGTGAAGGACATACAAGACCTGATAAGTCAATTCTGGGACATACGATAATCGTATATCCCAGGTCAATTAAAGTTTTTGGTTATTACAAATAATTTCTAATATTCTTTGTCAGTATAAATATCAGGTTAACTCTTTGCAACTTAAATAGACATTATCTGCGTTATCATTATTTTATTGCTAACCTCAACACATGTTGGTCAAGAGTGTATTAAGCAATTAACTGATAATAGATGTAAACAGTTGGATGCTGAATTCTGTACCATACTTCCCCTAAATTTAGCTATTGAAATAAAAAAGTTTAAAAAAGTTTTATTCACTTTGTATTTAAAAGTAAAAAATTCTGGATTACTCTCTAGAAACTGGTTAATTTTACAGACAGCCTTATCAAATAAAAATGATATTTTGATATATGATATGACACCCCGTCTTATACATTTCAATGGATTTTCAGTATCATAACACATGATGTTGTTTACAGCAATGTAAAAATACATTTCATGCTAAGTAAGGAACGTAAAACTTATATATTATCAACTATTTAATTAGTTATAGTATAAAATATTTAGTATATAACGAAATACAATCATTTGATTGCAAATATCAGTCAAATCTTAAGACGAAGCTGAAGTATCATTAAATTATTGCACTTGTCCAGTTGGTCTGACTTGATTATGTGGTCATCTTGTTGGAACCCTCAACTGGCTGGTATATAACAAATCATTAGGGAACACGGCACTTCCAGAGTATGTTGCCTGGACTTACCAACCCCAAATATTCCATGTACAAAGGGGACTGAACATTCGCAGAAAACCTATGCAGGACGTTGCAGTCGGAGGGTATTAGGAAAGGCAGCATCGAGTTTTAGCACTTCTTTTAACATTCCAAGGCATATTCTCTCAACGATATAATGCAATAAGAGGACAAAATACTAAATGTAATAAACATGTTGACATATTCCCTGCACCATATATGTAACAAAGCACAATGTTAAAAACAAAGTAATGCAATGATTTCTTTTAAAGTTTTTATTTAAATTCAAGGCGCAAAAGACTGAACAAATGGTCCTTTAAAATATGCTAAAACATTTGGCAAGTCAAGCTGATTGTTTTGCTTGCATCATAATAAACGTTCTTAATGTTTTTCCTATTGAAAACTGTAATGAATATATAGTAAATTTTGTTGGAAATCCTGTATAACATTATAAAATATACAACTGTCAACATTTGAAAATTTGTTTGTATTAAACGTTCAATATCACTGTTTGTTTTCTTCCTTGGTTTTCTGTAATTCTTCTTTGAACTGTTTGATAGTTTCTTGCCACTGCCATGAAGAGATATTACAATTAAAGGTGATTCAAATACCAATTGTCAATTTGTGTTCATGACTGTTACCAGTGGAATTCCTGAAAAATATATACCTTTTATTTAGAAGTGGAAACACGAATTATGCCATTTCTAGAATATATCAATTTATATTTTAATTGCAAATATATTTTTTACAGGGGCTAAACTTTGTTTATGTGTAAAAACTGAAAATTAAGTCTTGTGTATACCTTTCATCTGGTAATGAAATCTTCTTCTTTAGTGTTCATCTTACTGGTCTGTTGATTATTACTCCATCTACAGGGTACATTACATCTGTTCTCTTCAGACATATATATGAATGTATGTCCATGATTGTTAATCTTATTGTGTGAAATGCTTCAAAACGAGCAACTATTGCAAAATATTGATCTGAAATAGTAAATAAAATAACCGTTATTGCTTTTTAGTATAAAAACGGTATTGATTTAGATTCTGAAGCAATTATGTTTTAAATGTTATCTGTGATATAAGTGTGATATTTTAAATGAAATTTATGAACAAACATATTGTTATGTTTATATAAATGAAACATTTAAAACAATGAGAAATGAGAGTAATTAATGTAAGTAGTAATACTACTTAAGTAGCTTGGTTTAAAAAGAAAAGAACAATGGTATTTTACCTTGAAATGTTCTTTCATCCATCTTATTTTCACAATCCTTTCTTTTGTTAAACTCACATCCTTAGGTATTTTATGAAAATTAACGGTATAATCATATCTAGAATTGGAATAACAGAGTGGAATAAAAATGAGATTTCCCCAGCAAGTTAAACACACTAGGGCTTATCAGGTCAGACATTATTTGTTTACATTCATGCCCTGTTAGCCTCTCTCTGGTGATGGAATGTAAAGTATGCATATAATTTGAGAAAGGCCTATTAAGCATGAAACATCTTCTAGTGGGTGTCTACAAAGTTTGTTCAAATAAAAGCCCTGGGGTCAAAATTGGTCCCACCCCAGGGGGTTATTGTTTTACGCTTTATGTATATAGTAAAAACTTATAAAAATCTTCTCTTAAAAAACCTTTAGAGCTAGAGCTAAGATATTTAGCTTGAAACATCTTCTAATGGGTGTCTACCATTTTTGTTCAAGTAAGGGCCCTGGTGTTAAAATTGGCCCCTACCAGGGGATCATTGATTTTCCTTATATGTACAAAGTAAAAACTTTAAAAATCTCCAAAGAGCTAGAGTTTAGATACTAAGCATGAATTATCTTCTAGTGAGTGTCTACCAAGTTTGTTCAAATAAAAGCCCTGGGGACAAAATTGGCCCCGCCCAGAGCGGGGGGGGGGGGGTCATTGTTTTTCCCTTTATGTGTATAGTAAAAACTTTAAAATCTTCTTAGAGCTAGAGCTTAGATATTTATCATGAAACATCTACAAATGGGTGTATACCAAGTTTGTTCAAATTAAAGCCCCTGGGTTTAAATTGGCCCCGCCCCAGGGGCCATTATACAGGTGAGCGTTTTCAGGGCTATCATGGCCCTCTTGTGGGTTTTTGTTGTTGTCTTTTTGTTATTTCACTGTAATAACTGTTTTACTGTATTTCAGGTACTCATGATATTCATGCATTGATTCTTGGTCGTGCGATCACGGGTCTACAGGCATTTACAGCTGATATATGAGATTATGATAAGTGACTGACTTGCCTCTGTGATATTTATTCAAGGTTTCTTCATCATCAATGAACTTCCAATCTACAAAGATGCAAGATATTTTGTTTAAGAAAATGACATATTCTTGCATTTTGTGACTTTTCAACATATCAGAACAATGAAATTTTTCTGAGAAGATCTGATATTATGTGTATTGTTTGACTGTATTGTTAGTTCATCACAGTCTTTGTTTCTAGAAATTCATTGATGTTTGTGTATGTGTTTGTGGGAATTTTTTGTTAATGCTGTCAGTATTGTTGAATAACCAAAACTTATTAAGTTGCAATGATAACTACTGTCTGAACTGTTTTTCATTTGAAACTTTGTTTTTGCTAACTGTCTAAAGAAATGTGAAAGAAATCACATGAGCAGTGATTTGCTAATGTACTCTGCTGAACTTGAACAAAAATAGCATAGGAGGAAAGCAATGTTATTCATTTGTATGTAGTGTGCAGTGGTGACAAAATTACTCAAAGGAAATTATTTGAAATTATCTTAGAAATGTTTATTCATTGATTTTAAATACTTTTTATAAAAAGATAAGAATGTAATGACAAAGTGGCATACTTGGTAACCAAGTAAGTATCTTATTCTAGTCAAATGTTGCAGTATAAAGATTGAAATAATTTGTCCAAAATAATATATTTTATTAGAAAGATTTTTTATATGGAATACATTACTTCTTTAAATGATGGATCATTGTATAATTAATATAGTATTATGCCACAATCATTAAAACTCAGAACAAAATACACTAAAGAATTTTTTTCATTTTCTATACCCCCCCCCCCCCCTTCATTTTGGTCCGTACTTGTAAATACAGTAGAATCCCTACTTGAGACCACCTCGGAATTAAGACCACCCCCATCCCACTATTAAGACCAGTTTTTAAAAGAACAGAATTTTCTGTTCCGCATGTCAATGGATATATAATCCAGAATTAAGACCACCTTTGCTTATCCATTTTTAAGACCACCAAATTCAGTCCCAATTCTTTGTTTTGTTCTTTATTTGACCTCACTATTGTGACCACTAATGTAAAAGTGAACACCTACCTAGATCACATATTTGTTATTATCTGCTTGCTTGCTCTTAGGCATGACACTTGATTACACAAGGTGTCAAAAACTGTTCATATTTAATGAAGTAAGGTGAGAAAGTAAATTTCAGAGTGGTTAAATGTTGCTTTAAGCACATTTATTTTGTGAAGAAATAATGTCTTATATGATCTATGAATTATGTACACTTAAAATTTGTAATTTGTTAGACATTTCAAAATAGTAAATATGTGTTTGTAAAGAAACTGTTACTGTAAATCGCATTGTAACGTTAAAAGTGACCATATTTTTTTTTTTAGCACTAACAAAAATGTGGGGATGCCTATGTCTCTGTTTTTCAGTCTGATCAGTCTGTGTTGTACATGTAGGTTTTTGCAGTATTTAAGTAGTAATTCCTTTACATTCACAATTTTGCTTGATTCAGTTTCTAAGCAAGACAAGTTCCCATTTCACTGTTTTGTCATTGAAATATTTATATTTTTAAATTACCATGAAGTTCTATGATATCATGGTATTTAAATTTTCTGTGACTGCATGTGAAAGCAACACATGTTGATGATACTTTTCTTGCAACTGTAGCACTAAATTGCATAGCATCTGCCAATAAATTTAATTTTGTGAATAATAAATACATTTGTGGTAAGAAAACTATTTTATAAAATCTTCATATTTGACTACTATTTCCCTTAATAGTTTTTACATAGCCTATTGACATATGTTACAATCCAAACTTCTGGTATATTGGCTGTTCGTATATAGCTTGAATTATATTCATTACTTAATTGGAAGATAATGACATTGTATCCTTCCATATTTTTTTTATTTTTTTTTTTGGGGGGGGGGGGGGTACCGTGATACCATAGTAACCTCCTCTGAATCACCCAAATTGGCATTTAAATATGACATTTAAATTGGAACTTCAGAATTAAATTTATGACAGACAGTCTTGGAAAAGAATCCGTTATTAAATAGAAAAAAATCACATTCATGTATGATTTTTATATTAAAATATTTTTTGATAAACGTTAAGTACTATGATATCATAGAACCCGAGGCTATTACTGATTAACCTTTGGAAGAAAACAATTATTAATGAAATTCCAATATGATTTTTAAATTCTGAAAACACTTTCTTCACTGCACAGCAAGCGTAGTCTAATATTTCACTAATTTCACGAATTAGATAGTCCCGAAAATAAAAGAAAATATAGTATATTTAAGTAGATACAATGTATATAGAAAGTAACATTTGAAACCAGTAAATGAAAATCTTATTGTGCATATAATTCCCCCATAGATTCGAATTATTATATGTTTGTTAACTTAAAAAAATCTTAAAAGTCGTATTTGAGTGAAAGTAAAAGATTTTGTTTGCGTTTACGTCACACTGACGTAGTATAGGTCATTTGGGGACGTTCCTGCTTAAATGGGGGAAGACCTCGGGTGCCCTTCGGTGAATTATTTCAGACATGGACGGGCACCTTCCGTAAGCTACATATAGCTTGATGGCTTCCTAAAGTCCCTGTCGGAAATTAACAGATGTAAACGGAAAAATGTTATTTACTGTTCTGTAAATAACTACTCGCGTTAAATTTCTTTATTAATTGATGTCTATTTTACATGAAATTCAGGTATCAAGGTATAAAAACAGGGAGAAAATGATTTGCCTGTGTTAGATAGCATTTATTCACACAATGCATTAAATAATATGTAGAAACTTATTGCGCTATAGAGTTTATCACTAAATGTTTCACCTTGAAATTCATTTCATTTTTGAAAGCTGGTTCACAATCAACCTGAATGAGAGGATCTGCGTGCTTCGGTTCTTCACGGTATGTACGGCATAGTATACAAAATTTTTAAGCCAATCAGACTGCTAGAAATTTATTTGTATTATTATAAATCATTAAATGACTGTATCATAGCAAGAGATCATGTTAAATTCAATGTGTTTTACTGCCGTGATCCGGAGTGAAAATTACCACCACCACGTTAATCCGACATCCCTTTGCGGCGTGCACGTCGCTCGGAGTACATAGGTCACACCTGACCGGTGACCTATGCAGGTTACTGCTGGTAGCGAAAGGGTGCGGCTCTTAAAAGATGCTGCTGCCTTTTGGAAGAGATGCCTTTCAACTATTGTCTTCCTTTGTTCTGCGAAGCGAAAAATTTGGTCCTGGAGAGAAGATGTCTATGACGATAGACGGATTGAGAAGTCCTCCGTAGCGGCTCTACGACCAGCCGGCGTCCAGCATAAATAAACTTAAAGCACACGAAGAGATCATGTTTAGTTTATTTGTGACCAAACCTCCATGTTTAACTGATAAGATATATTATGCCAGTTATAAGCCTCGTTTCCTTAAACACATTAACTTGCACCCGAAAAACGTTCTTTCTGTGAATTTTGTGATATTTGCTCGCAAGTTCTTGATGCGGTCGATATACAGTGACACTGGATAAGTGCATTTTTTGCCTTACTTTACATTGAGTATTACATGTATTTAGAAATAATCGGATTGTTAATTAACACGATTTTATCCTGTTTTATAGAATGCGAACGTGGAGATAATGATATCACCATAGTTGTCATGTATTGAAACAATCCGATTTTCTCAAAGAACCACACCCTTGTGACCTTCGTGCTGTCTATGACACCAACAAAAAGGAAAAAATATGTTTGTGAAAACAATTTATAGTAAAATAATATACACAAAATGTATATATAACTTCATCTAACTGATAATGTTTTATTTTAATGTGAATTTATAACTTTGAATATTAATTAGATTTTATATACAAGTACCAACATTTTCGTTATGCACTGAGTTGACATTAACTTGTAAAGTAGATAAGATGTGGTAAACCTTGTAATTAGAAAGTTTGGTGCACCTTTCATCTTTACAGAGACAACAAAGTTAAAGGACGCAAGCACCAATCTGCCTACCACTTATGTCTCACTGAGGTGTTGCGAACTGAAAATATTAAAATGCAATGGAAACTGAGCATTTGAGTGTAGATAATTATGTTTTTGGTTGGGTTTTATTTCGCACTATTAAACTGTAAAGGTCATATAGCGACTTTCCAGGTTTACTAGTGGAGTAAGACCTCAGGTGCCCCTCAGCATTATTTCACCTGAGTAGAACCACCGACGGTCCGTAAGCTAGCTGGATAGAATTCAAAATCTATGGCAGGAATCGAACCCAGAGCGGTGAGGAGCAAGTGTTTTGAAATCAACGACCTTAATCATTGATGCCGCAAATGTGTTTTCTAAATGCAAATGTATGTGACATTGATATTACCAAAGACAAAAAGGGTTGAACTTAACAATCTAGAAAATAGTGAAAAAGAAATACCAATGATTAGAGATAATCATGAATTGTTTTCTTATGTCACTACCGAAACCGCCCATAAAGAACGTATTTCTGAGTTAGATCAGACGGATACGGTATTGCATAACGAAATGAAAAAAGAATAACTAGGTAAAGAAGAAAAATACATAAAGAGTCCATTAATATTATTCTGGTGCAGATGACGATAATACTATTAACAAGAAATGAAAAACAAACAAACCAAAAAAAAAATAATACGTAATGGGAAGTCTTTATCAAGCTCTTGAATGTGAGGAAAATTTCTTGAAACTGTCCATGTACACTGTATATATCAAATACATTTTATCACACACCCGTGCCGATTTTGCGACTCCGTAAATATGGTATTGCACGGCCGTGCATATATTTTGACGTGACGTCATTAGGGTTATACAAACAAAGAGTAAAGACGCGCTAAATGTTAGCGTTATGATACTATAGGCGCGTCAATGAAAAATGACTTTTATTTCACTTTAAACGGTCTTTATTTTGGGTATGTGATAAATAGAATATTAAATTCGTGTATGTTCATTACTGAATTTATTGCACTCGTGGAATAAAACAATATTATGCTCGCCAGAGGCTCGCATAATATAATTTTATTCAACTCGTGCAATAAATTCAGTATTGAACTTACACTCATTTAATATCCTCTATTTACGTCAATATCTAAATGTGTTTTGCCATGTAGTTAATTATCCCCCTCTTTGTAATTCTTTAACCCGCAAAGTTCACCACTCGTAAGTCTTAATAAAACGTTATGTCCATTTACTTTAGGTTAATAATAGTTTAGTTAGCTTTAGTTTACCCCTGACGTTTGGTGCCCAACAATTCTACAGAGTGAGGAAGGCTGATAACAGAACGAGAATGTTAACCGGGTGGCTTTACAAAACATTGAATTCACGTAAAGAAAAATACTAATTGGATTGCTGAATTTCTTAAATCAATAACCGTTGGAGATGAACCAAGATGACATGAAAGCAAACAGCTTGATGTAAACCATAGAGAAGACAAAATAGATGGCAATGACGGCCGCAAATTTTTTTATGTCATGTATAATGAACTGATTGGCAGGAATGGTAATGTTACGATATAATTTGAAATGACAAATAATGATACGTTTGACAATGATACAGTGATGAAGACGACACAGTATATGGCTTATGTCAGAGAAGACGAGCTATAAAAATACGAACAAATATATACGTAAATATCGTACATGCCTGGTCCATATACGGACTTCCCGTATACTCGGTGTTTCCTATACGGACTTGTATACTTTGTCCGTATATTAGACACATACACGTACACGCCCGTATATGTTTAATATACGGGACCGTATATTCCCGTATATTAGTGTATTTTTCGCAGTGTTAACATTGCAGAGGAAGATTCATCATTTTGAATTAAAGAAAAAAATGATAACTTATTAGAACAGTGTTTCACTGTAACGCTACAGTTCTGGTCAATTATAGAATGCAGCTGACGTAATTACACCAAATGAAGAAGATACAGAACATAAATCAGATTTCATAATCAATGAATTACGAATTACAGATAGACAAGCAACTATTGTTTTATACACCGATTACTAAATATAGGTCGAAAATATACTGACGATATAGAGCTAAAACATTCAATAACGAGCATGCACGTATGTAATAGATCTAATTATTCAACATCAAAATGCAAAGCTTTCAAATACAGTAAGTGTAGAGCGCAATGACTTAAACGCCGAACCGTCCAAAGAGACAGAAGTCTGTGTACACAAACACGAACAATCGGTATTTCTGTTAAAGTTGAATTGTTAAAGAAATTATCTAGACAATCTATTATAAAGCACGATTAGGTATTTAATTCAAATATTTCCTTCGGGACAAAAGACAGGAATAACTGAACAAGATCTTTATATGCATGACTGGAGCATCAATATTGAACATAACCCCCAGACAATAAATAAATTGAAAAGGAGTCATTGACCAAGAATAATTTTTTTTTTTTTGGTGTTGAAATATACGCTAAGATATTAAATGTTAAAGTGATAAAGCCGGGCAAATTATAGGGATAAGGGTTCACTTGAACGATGGGGGAAATTATTTTGGCGACAGGTTCGAACATTGTGTTTTATGTGAGTCTTACATAATTACTTCATGAATTCGATATCACTTTTAACAAAATTTGAAAAACTGGTCCTTATTTACATGTAAGTGTTATACTTTACGTTTGCAAGTTCCAATTTCGATAAAACTGCATTTGAAAAGTATTTTCAAAATATTATCTCGAAGTGACGTCAAAATGTTCTTACTATTGTATTTCAATGTGCAATAGAACACAAGCTTTGACTTGTTATATTTTTTATATTGTTTTCATTAAATATAGATTTATATATTTTAGATTCAATTATGACGATGAGTGCAAGTATTTGTCAATCCTAAACAAATAATGCATTTTCTACTCTACGGAGCAGTTATCTGTTATAATACTCCTGAGAACACAGATGATTCAATAGAATAAATATGTCTGTTTGAGGTCATCAAGTTTCATATAAGATCAATAGATTCCTATATATCTCAGTATTGTCTGTGCCCTCATTATTTTTAATTGATAATTTCGGACTATATAGCATTCTCACTAGAATAAAAAATAATTAATTATATCGTTAATGTACAAATAATAATTGTAAGGTTAGAGAACAGATAGATTTTCCAATATTCCGTAACAGACATTATTTAATAAAGCGCATATTTCACGAATGCAAACAAAAGCAATTGAATAAAGAAACTGGCGATACTAATTACCCAGTGAAATGAAAATTGGATATTAAAATACAATGAATTAGAAAATTATTTTGTTTCGAATAAAGCACCATGGAAAGCTGTTGCGCTTTAACGGATACTGTCTTCTCATTAAATAATGTGTGATCATTACTAAATTAATCTATACTCTAACTTTGTATTATCGGCGCAACTTTAGTATCGACGTACTCTCAGTATTTTGTCATGCGCAGTCATATTTACGGTGAAGTTAAAAATCTTTGAATCATTAAAAAAAATGTAATGAAGAGTTCAATTTGTTCCGCTTCACGCAAAATATTCATTATTAAAAACATCAATTAAATTCAATGCAGAAATACAGACCGATAATACGGAGTCCAATGCTACTATAAATTTGATTCCATTTCCATTTTTATTACCACTGTTTTATTCTACAATATGGATTCCCTCTCTGTTTCAACAAAAGTATCGTTGTTTCAACTCGAGATATTGACTTATCCCGGATCCGTTAATTAAAAGTCGTTAATAATTAAAGATACACTTTTAGTTTTCCTCAGTTTACGTTTATGTTTCAAAAATCTCGTCCGCATTTTTTGTGGGAGCAGCGTAACATCGCTCTTTAGGGTTCAACGCACTTTTGGGTCCAACCTCAAAGTGCGTTACGCACCTTGGGGTCCAATTTTGACCCCAAAGTGCGTTACACGGATTCATATACATTTTTTAACATCAGACAAACGATCACCCTTTGGGGCCTTAAAAATTCAATCAATAAAAATGAATTTTCATTATGTTTTAAAGTAATATTTTGTAGTCAAAGCCAATGGTAACCAAAAATCAAGGTATTACTTAAACGAATTGCATAAAATCAGTACACGCAGTACTCAAAAATATCATTTACTATTTAAGTAGTCACACGTTAACAGCAGAACTTCATAATAATGTAAAGTTTACACTGGAAGATCTAGATCTAGAGGGGATGGTGTCGAACCCCATAGAAAATAAAGATAACGTTTAGAAGGTTTTATTTGTATCTCTCACAAACTTCTTAATTTTGGTGTACTTCTATAGTATCAAAAATGTAACTCATTGGCCAATTACCTGAACCATCTTTTTCATCTGTTGCTTTTTGACAATAAGTGCAGTTATAGAGAATTAGTATTTTATATAGAAGTCAAATATTACATTGTTTTCATTTTGCCACCTTATTGACAAACTATTTCACATTTATCACTACATTTTCAGGTAACAAGCATCTTCTCTGATACCATTATTTAATTATTATAAAATTACTGTTTGCCCTTTATAAAGAAGTAATTTTTTTAAGTTTCTAAGGTATGGCATGCCTTTAAGTGAAAAAAAAAACAATAAAAATTGACTCTCTATCACCTCTGAAAAATCGAGGCGGACACCCTTAATAAGAGTTCCTTTTAAAAAACATCAAGTTTGTTGATAGGCATTATAGTGTATTCCTATATATAGTTCGATCAGGAAACTTGATATTTCACCAGAACATAACAATAGAGTATACATGTATTTATAGTTCTTTGGAGAAAAAAAATTAAACTGCATTTTTTAACATCCCTATCATATTTAAAATAGAGTTCAAAAGTTATAAAGTAAATGACTGACAGAACAGGATATTTTTCGGAGGATCTTTTATATTTAAAGAATACATTCACAATTTATGTTCTATAGTAGTTTCTTATATGGACACAATTTTTAGATATTTCAAGTGGTAAAATTAAAAAAAAGCACTTATCACTTAAGCATCAAACACATTTATTTTTATTAATGCTACATTAGAATTGAAATGGCTCTTAGTAAGAATGATGTATGTAAGTATCGACTGTCATCTCCACCTCAAGTATTTCAATGTTGCAGATCGAAATTAAGTCAGTACTCAGTTTTTAGCCACATGCAGAACTCTGGAATCCAAAGTGCGTTGATATGTAGCATATGGTCGATTTCTCGATTTTTACCAAAAGTGCGTTGGACCACACAGTTCGATGTGAAGTGTCACGCACTTTGAAGTCTGACCCAAAAGTGCGTTGGACCCCAAAGTACGGTGTTACAGAACAGAGTGTATAGGTGTTACGTATATTTTACCTTGTCGTAACGTAATATGTATATAAGGTGTCAATTGATAAATATATACGGTATAACAACTTTCTTTAACAACCCAGGAATGGTCAGTGAGGTATAAAAAATGACGATAATTCTTTAAAAAAAAATGAAACAACTTGATAACCTTTCCTGGCCCTTGAATTTTAAATGAGTTGAAGACAATTGTCTCTAGTAGCCTAATAAAGATCGAACAAGTTCTACCTATGATGTACGGGTAAATTCCAATAAGTAGTTGCTGAGAAATATCCCAGATGAATGTTTCTTTTATATTTACAAGTATTACACAGGCCACAATACTGTGAACAATATTTGATTTAAAACAAAAAAGCAATGTTAATATATCTCGTAATTAGTAGTGATAATTTACTCTTTTTTTCATAATGGTCATGAATCTTAATACAAATCAAAGTTAACCGATGGAATCTTTTTATGATAGTGCAGTGTTTATTGTAATGAAATTCGTATTTTATTTCAAAAAGTTATAAGAAAAAAAAGAACTGAATTATGACAAAGAGGCAAATTAACTTACATGTAGGGATGTAAGAAAACGTTGCATTGCTTCATTTTAATATTTCAATACAATCCATTTGTATGTGGGCCGATACAATATCATTCCATGACCTAATATTATTGCTGATCATTTATGCAAGAGAACAAATAGAAACATCTGACACCATATCTCTCAAATCAATGTTAGAACCTGAATAAAATTAAAATCAAATCAAGAGAAAATATTTATATTCTGTTTGCCTCTAAGTTAGAAAATGTGTAAAGAATTGGAAGCCAAATTAAAGCAAGTGTAAACTCATTCATTTATTTATACGTTAGCAACGGCAACTCCGGACTTATGTTCGATTTAAACATTCTGATATGTTTATACAATTATGACATTATTTGCAGACAAATAACATGAATTTAAGAATACGCCTTCTGATATAGATTACCATTTGTCAATAAAGTGTAAATCATAAATTCAAAATGAGCTATTCGGCCAAGAGGGATATACTGGTTCCGATATTTATATTATTTGTATCTTATTTCGAAAAATGCGTTACCGTAACTGCAAGATCCAGGTTCTCTAGAAATGCGGCACTGGATGGTTACAGTTGTGAATCTGGTGATGTCGTCTTTAATAAGGACAAGATGATTAACAGGATTTTATGTTCATCGCTTTGTAGCTAGCAAGATGCATGTGTTGGTTTCTTTTACATCCCAGGATCACAGCACTGTATTGGTTGCCGTGCTGACTTTCAAAAAAGATCAACAACAATGGCAGATACCATGTTCTACACTCGTGACGGTAGGTTAATTAATCTTAGAAACATTTTTATTATGTATTAAACACAATTTTGGGACGTACAAGGGATAATTACTATCCCCATATGGATATATGCTTTTATTAATACATGGTTATTTCTCTTTTTTAGCCGTTCAAGATTTTATCTTTTATCCAATAAGCAAAACATAGAGAATATTCAAGTTTTTTTTCTATAAAACAGGATTTATTTTCATTGAGTGGTATGAAAAAAAATCACGAGTGGCAGTAGCCACGAGTGAAATATGGTAGTCACAAGATAAAAGTAATTCTGTCTTTATAATAAAGAAACGAACTTGAATTTTCTGTTTATTATATACTTTTTCTATTTTTTTTAACTTACAATTCTTCAGACCTCTCCTTTAATTTTGAGTTTAGGCTGAATTAAAAAGAAAGAAGTTCGGCAAAACACCAGTGAAAATACGGAAAATATGTTTCACTGCAGTGAAAAATAAACTTTTACAGTGAAAATACGGAATAATGTAAATACGCATTTTATTCTATCAATATTTCTAAATATTTCATTTATAATGATATAATAACTGTAAAATATTAGGTACAAGTAAATAGAATTTAAACACATTTTTAAAAGAAGTTAATGTTTGAATTATTATGTATCTTTACGTTTCTTTTTATGAATAGACACGAGAAACATTAATGCCTTACTGAAAATCAAAATATATTAATTAAAATGGGGCTCCATAAAGAACTCTTAATTCCAATTTCATTTTTGTGATTTGTTTTCCTTGATATGATGTGTGTCTGATACTCGTATCTGATGGACCATGCGTGAAGCAAATATTTACAATTTCGCATTGTAAAATCTTTCTACAATTAATTTATTATTGAAATAACTATAGTTAAATAGTTACTAAATAGCATTGAAAAATTCCATCAGAAAGAGTAGATATTCCAGTGGACACCGACAAGTTTCTTCATGTGAATTAAAAATTCAGATTCACCAAACTATTTTATTTTAGATTTTTTTTTTAATTAAGATGTCCACAGAAATGTGCGAAAACAATTAAGAAAAAAAACTAAGCCATGCAGGGTATAAAATGAAGAAAAATCAATTTGCATTTCTGTATTTATTGAGTTAAATTAAAACGGTTATTTTCATTAGAAAATTCAGTATAGAGAGCTCGTTTCAAATTGAGCAAGAACTTTGAATTCACCAGAATAGAAGTTAATGTTATTTATCTCACTTAACAATGTGAGGAAAATTTCTTGAAAATGTCCATGTTCTTACCTTTCATTTGAAACAGATGAAATAAATCAAATGGAGAGAAAACGTGATAAAATTATTTACTAGTATTATGTTTTTTTTTCCTTCTTCAATTCAGTTCCTAGAAGCAGCTCAGATTACGATGGTTATAGGTGTGCAACAGATGAAAGAATCTCTGTCAACTCACATATTCCGACTCTTGCACATTGTGCTAGTATTTGCTTCGTGAACGATGATTGTCAAAGTTACTTTCATCAACCAAATACACAGGAATGTTCTCTATGCCGTATAGCTTACGGTATAAATGGAGATGATGCGGGACTGGAAGAATGGACGGGCTCGTTGTACGAATCTAGATATCGTAAGTTATACATACGAAATCACCACAACTTACATCCATGTTATGATGATATGTGTCTAGTTTACATGAAATAATAATGCTCAAATAACTACATTCAATTTATTTGAAACCTACATTTTTATTTCGTTTATTTATACATTTTCTTCTTCATATTTTAATATTAATATGTTATAAATATGTTATAAAGTAATGGTAGTCGTAAGCGGAGGGACAATCTTAAATTTACTATTTTCACAAATATACTTGTACAGTATTGTCACATGCTACCTGCTACACAAGTATAAACTAATTTTTTATCATATAATTATTTTTTTTACTTCATTTCCAAGGTATTGATCCTGAGAGAACCCTCGAAATGAACAACGTATTTTCTTTTTCCTGCAATTTTGCGGCATTTAAAAACAAAAATGGGACTTGTCAGCATTAAATGTACATGTATTTACTGTAAAGTTAATGCAAATCTGATATTATTGATTTTTTTACTTAAACTTATTCATTTTGGAAATATTTTGGTATTTAGTGAAACATCTCATGAAATAGATCTTTAATATTTTGGTAGAATATATAGGCTGTTATGACGACAACCTTCCAAGGATTCTAGAAGATATCTTTATAAAAAACGATACCATGACAACTGAGATGTGCATCAAGAGATGTATAACTGCAGGTCGTACCTACGCCTTAACTGAGGTAACTATTACTTGCTAACGTTTGAATTTATATGGCGACTTTACAGCTTTACTGGTGGACGAAGACCTTAGATCATCCATCGTGCATTATTTCAGGCACGAACGGACACCTGCGTAGAAATAAAATTGATAGCGTTTCTGAGGCATAATGGACCTTTAAACAATAATACTAATATTACTCAATAGCATAATTATGTTTTAAGGTTTACCATTTATATGGATAGAGTACATACGCTGCAAATTGATAAATGATAACACTTCGTGTAAAAAAAGATACAAGCAATTTATTTAAACTTTACACAAAAGGATACCTAAAGTGAAATTAATTAATTAACCGTGCATGTGCATGTATTGTGTTATAGGCGACCGATAATTGTGATTGTGGTAATCAGTTGAAGGCTCACGGGAAGTATGAAGATACATCATGTAATATGACATGTACAGGAGATAGTAGCCAGATTTGTGGCAGTCATTGGAAAGCATCCGTCTACGTCATAAGACATTGGGAAACGACCAAATACCGGTCAAATACGATTTTGGTAAAAGCATTGGGCTATACTGCAATACTCACTGGTCGATAATTAGTTAATTACCCGGCTTGTTGATCGTTAGATGTTTATATATATTAATGTTTACATTTTGAATAACTTAAGTTTCTTTTTAATAGCAAGAAAATCACAAGAACTGTTGCAATTTTTTAAAATAACATAACATAACATAATATTTATTCAGCATTAAATGTTACAACATTTATAGCCATTTCAATATATAATACAAACATATAAGGGCAAGTACATGGTTAACAGAGAATTATATACAAAAAATTTATACAAATTAATCTTAAATTATTATTTTTTAACAGAGTGAACATAATTAATTGTAAAGTATTTTTTTAACAATATTTTTCATCATTATTACCATTTATCTGTTGTGTTATTTCTATAGTAAAACATATTACAAAGAATATGTTTTTCTTGTTACAAGCAACATTTATGTTTATTGAATACATTTTTGTAAAACAATTCAAATATGGAGATCCATTTCATTGTGTTTACATTAACTTAAAATACTTACAAAAGATAAAAAGAAAACAAAGCAGTGAACATCAGGTTATGATAATGAAATTCGTTTTGGAATAAAGAAGAATTATTGCATATGGAAAGCTTTGTATATAAATTTGCTGACATTCAAAATACTTTTAACAGAGTCTAAATTCATAAGTGAGATAAATTTGCTTAGTAGGCCAATGGCAAAAATATGGATTGAAGTAGGTTTTTCTTAAGTTATTATATTTTGGGCATACTAAAAGAAAGTGGAACTCGTTTTCTATAACATTCATATTACAATTTGAACATATTCTTTCATTTCTGGGAATATTTAAATATTTACCTTTTTCAATCATTAAATCATGAGATGATAGTCGGAATCTTGTTAGTGCTATTTTAAATTTACCATTAGGTATTACATCTTAATATCGTTCTACTTTTAATTCTTTCTTATACCAGCTATATGACTGTAACTTATTTGAAGTTCTAATTTCAGCATCCCATGATTGTTTATATATGGAATCATAAACCTGCCCTTTTAACTTGTGTCTTATGACTTGCGACTTATGACTTGTGACTTTTGACTTCTGATTTGTGACTTACCTGTTTGACATAAATCGGCGCGTTTTCGAATGAAATATGGCAGACGAAAACGCTTTATATTCTAGAACAATTTTCCCATTTAATTGGGGCGTTTTATAACACAGTCTCTTCTAAAATAGTATTTTATCATCTGGATTAGCTGCAATTTAAAGGCTGCTGAGCATCTCATATTGTCGACAGTTGTCCTGACTTATTCAAAATGTAAGTGTTATACAAACCTCTCGCACGTGTAGATTCTCTTAAATTTTATTGTTTTAATGACGGTTGTGGAAGCTGTTCATATCTTGTAAATTAAGATAGTATCATTCGAGGGTTGATGGATTTTTTAATTTTAAAATATATATTCACATTAATCAATTTGCTAGCTAGCGCATAGTGTCGCTCAGGGTAGCAGGCTGACTGAGTGGTTCACACAATTGACTTATAATAGGAGGATTTGCTGGCAGTCTAGGTTTAAATCCTGCTAGGTTTGTGCTAGCTGGTGCTTCACTGGGCAAAAAACTAAACAACCATTGCTGACGTTCCTGTAAGCTCCAACCTTTCTGCACTATCATACTTAAATAAATAATGTTATGTATTATCCAAAGCAAACCCTTGACATGCGAGTTAAAGATTGAAACAAACAAAAAAACATGAACAATTCATGTTAGATTTTTCTTTATACTATGCTAGAACATATAGTACCAGATATATTGTTGTTATTTGCACTTATCATCCTGACTGTTAACACTATTTTTTATATACTTTACAGATACTGACAGATACTGATATAGATGAAAAGAAATAAAAATGAAGATTGGGCCCATAATATTAATGATTGTGGCACTTTTTTATGTGGTGATGTGTGTTGTACCAACCTATTTGCCAAAGCAAACTTTGAATCAGAGGTCCGAACTTATTATTGAATATTTCAAACTTGGTTTCAAATACACCGAGATTCTAGGATTTTTATTAAATAGACATAAAATTTTGTTGTCAATGCGGCAATTATATAGATTCCTAAAGAAGTTTAACCTAAAACGTCGGGAATTACAACCCCACAGTTATTAATACCATTCACAAAGAGCTGAATACTTGTGGACAAACTATGGGTTATAGGTTTTTGTGGGAACGGCTTTAAATTAATCATAATGTTCAGACAACTTATCAGGAAGTTATGGAGGTAATGAAGATTTTAGATCCTGAGGGCACTCATCTGATCTGAGAAGAACCTATCGTCTAAAAATGCGTGTTTATTGTGCGAAAGGTCCCAACTATATTTGGCATTTAGATGGTTATTGCAAGTTTAAACCCTTTGGATTTTGTGTCCATGGTATTATTGATAGATTAAGTAGAAGACTGATCTGGCTAGAGGTATCGGATACAAACAATAATCCATGCCTCATTCCAAAGTTTTTTTTAAATTCCCTGAAGTCAATTGAAAAGGCACTTCGTATCATACGTTGTGATGCTAGAACAGAAAACTCTGATGTATACCTTTTACAACAATGCAATTGACGCTTTTGCAAAACACAGAAGTGTTATAATTGGTAAAAGTACTTCCAATCAGCGAGTTGAACGTTGGTTACGCTCTTTACGACAAGAAGATTTACAGTGGTGGCTCAGCTTTTTTAAAGACTTGCAAGATTCTTGACGATATGATAAACTCGACCCAGTCCACTCTGTTAATCTGAAATTTTGCTTCATGGATCTAATTCAAACACACCTTGATCGAATTGCACAAAACTGGAATACTCACGCTATTAGACCCCAAAAGAATAACGAGCTCAATATGGAAAACCTGACGTAATGTTCTATTTACCCGAACTATTTGATAGTCAAGATTTCGGTACAAATGTAGATATACAAGACGTAATTTGTTGTCAACGGATGTATTTTATTCCGAAGAACAGAAATAAAGACTTTAAAGAATTGGCTAAACTCTTGAAACCGGATTTACAAATGGCACATGACGCTGAAACGGCATTGCAATTGTTTTTCGAGCTCAATAAATTGGTATGGTTAGCAGACAACCTGCGACTAAAACGACAATGCAACACGACTACACAGCTGTAAATATATAAATAGCTACTACAAATGTATGCAATTATGTCTCCACAACACTGTCAAACTGGGTTGAAATAGTTCGTCACCGCTTTGTTCTTTCTACATGGATGGAGGATTTTGAAATAAGTTAGCACAAATGTTCACCATCATAAGATGTGTCCCAGTATAAGATACATTTCCGTACTGAAGGTCAAAGTCTCACTTAGAGGTTAAACGTCCACTTCTATATGAATGAGTGGGTTTTGAAATAACTTGGCACAAATGTCCACCATCACGAGACGAGGTGTCGCTATATACAGCCGCAACCCTGAGTTGAAGGTCAAGGTCACTTGGACAGATTATAACTAATCTGTTATAACTTCTTTATTATTTAAGCCAAAGCCTTGATGTTTTAACACAATTTCATTTGGACAAAAGCAGCCTTCGTCTGAAATGTCAACATTTGGTGTTGAAACATACTTGACATTGACCTTTATCATTAAAGGTTAAAGATGTGTCTGCATACCGGGTACATCTTCTTACGATGGTGAACGTTTGTGCCAAATTATTTCAAAATCCCTCCATCTAATGTACAGAGATGATACTCTTGAACCTATTCCGGTAACTACCGCTATATTGCACTCAGTGCTGCCGCAGATATCTGCACCGAGCGGTCTGCCATCCAGTGGAGAAACCGGTACTCCTACAAGGCTAGGAAGATAAACAGAGACAGACTTTTTCTGTGGAACATTAATAGACTATCCTCATTGATAATCGACAGTGATTTCTTTTCTTTTTTGATCAATTATGATATCATTCTTATGTTGATATATACAACTTTTGTTAATGTCCGCACCTCAAATTCAATAAAATGGCTAAACGTCATAGTAGTAGCGTACTTATATATACACTTGTACATGTATTCGCAATAAATATTTCAATCATGACAATAATGAGCTTGGTGTTTTGGATTAATCACAAGAAACTCAAAACTGGAACAGTCAATGACATTTGTGTTTTGCATATAAAAATACGAGAATTGCAGATATGGCTTATTCCGAGGGATCACTTTGTTTTGAGATTTTTATTACCATGGCGCGCCCACGTATGCTGTTGTAAAATTGTTGATGTAATCTATTTAAAAATATATACATGTAATTGGAAATTCATCAATCAATGTTTCCGACCAAATTTGACAGACAAGTCCCAATCCAAACAACATATATCATTTCTAGTTTATCTTACAACATGACGATGACTTTAGGTCAACTGACAAGTTTAATTATAAATGTATGTCTAGAACAAAGTTCGCCCGTGCCTGCTCCTGTTTCATTAACAAAAGTACAAAGTATCCGAGTCTCTTTAAATTGTTTTCAAACAGATAACATCAACAATATTCAAACAGCAGATGATGATGCGACATGGTAAGTAATGCCTGCCACACATATTTTAAAGTAACAAAGTCAATGGTGAGTGTCACAGTACCGAACCAAAGTGTGTATATATATATTAGAAAGTTTGAATGCTTAAGATCAAAGCACTTAGATTATATGACCATTTAAAGTCTTTGCACTTGTTGATCATCGTTACCACAATGTGACCTTTTGACCATTAAAAGAATAATGGATGTGGTATGTAGAACTCATGAAGGTGCATTTACATACAAAGTTTGAAGGTCCAAGGTCAATGGGTCAATGTCACACTTAGAGGTCAAATGTCACATTGTGGTGTAACGTTTCGTGTCTCGAATAT